CATGAAATGTAGTGAGCATAAAATTAGCAAATTAGCAAAACAGACCAACCATTACATAGATGTAAGGGAATGGATGGGTAGATGGAGAGAAGCAATTTTTGGGGCAATTCAAATTTCAAGCATTTGCTAAATACTGTACACTCTAGTCAATCACAAGTCAAGAGATCAGATCAAACCGTTAGAAAAATATAAAATGGGTCCAACAATGTACATCAAGCTATCCAACACCCTCCATCAACCAACAGAGCAACATAGTTAAGGTGCCCTGATTTCTGAATTCCTTCATACTATGTTTGGTTGGGGGATTTGGAAAAGAATTTGGAAAGAAAAATAGAAAAGTAATGTGAAATGTGAATAAAATATATCCACATTTTATTTAGTTTCACACACATTTTCCCATTCCTTTTCCAAATTCCTTCTCAAATCTCCTAACCAAACACAACATTAAGGACTAGTTCTTCCTCTGCCTTTAAATGCATCCCATAAGGCACAAAGTAGCCACAACCCATATTTTCCACTTGCTTCTAATAATTTTTACTCCTAACAAATCAATCAGACCTCATGAATACCAAAAGTCATATTAAAAGACGAAAACAACAAAAGACCACACATCTACCACCTATATATAGTAAGATGATAGTTCACCGTATCCTGCTCTAATTTCATATGTAGAGTGAGAGAGAGAGGATGCAACCAAATCTGAAAATGATAAAATCTTATGCATTTTATAACTAATTTGGCGTCGCTTGAGCAGTGATTCAATACTTGCAGTTCTACAAGTACATGCCTCAGATCATACACACCCTTATATACTGCTGGACCACCACTCAAGCAATGAATCCCCAGTCTTTGAATTTTGAAATGGTGAACTGCGTCAACCTGTCAACAGCAGTTCAGAAGCTATAGATGATGCCCTGACTTGCTTGCAACTTTAAGTCCATGGATGGGATTCACTGAACGTAAAGTCAAAAGGTCTTACATTACAAGAGTTAAAGCTACATACAACTGAATTGAATTTGGATTATAAAGCAATAAGGCATATAAGGCCATGCTTGGCAATTGGTTAAAATAGCTAAAAAGTAAAAAAATCAATTCATTCTCTCTACATTTTTTACATGTCATTTCATAAGAAATATGTAATAAAAAAAAAAAAAAAAACTACTGAAAAATCAATTATCAAACAAACGCATATTATGTCAAGGGTATATGGGATTGCCAAACAACACTAGAGAAGATTCTGTCTTATGTCAAGGTTAGAATCAATCCATCCCTCCGACTGATCATGTACCCTTAAAATGTTACTCTACATCATACTTCATACCAATATAAGCAATAAAGTTTGTCATTCGACTCTCATAGAGACTTCACCTGGGAAGTTAATTTTATGCTAAAAAAGTTTAAAATAAAAAATTAAAAAATTCAATACACAACTTGTGTTTGGCGTGGACGGTGAAAGGCTACCAAATTTATGTGTAAAAAAAGACCAGTATTCCTTCCGTCTTGTACCAATGGCAAAATGAAAATTTAAGGCAAAATAAGTCATATATATCCGTCAATCACATTTTTTTATACAATTTTAAAAGTTTTTTAAAAAAATATATTTTTGGAGACATTAAGGGTATGTTTGGTTTGTATTTGTAGAGTAGTTTTTTAGATAAAAAGTACGAAAACTTGTTTGGTTTGCCTTTTTTTAGGCTACCAAATTTATGTGTAAAAAAAGACCAGTATTCCTTCCGTCTTGTACCAATGGCAAAATGAAAATTTAAGGCAAAATAAGTCATATATATCCGTCAATTACATTTTTTTATACAATTTTAAAATTTTTTAAAAAAAATATATTTTTGGAGACATTAAATTTTTTTCATCTCGTAAAAAAACTAAAACATTAAAAAAATTACAAGAAAGTTCAAATACCAAACCACTAATTATTGCTTTACTTGTGCTAACGTTTGTTCACATGTTAGGATCTTTATTTATGATGACAGTTGAAGTTAGGAAATTGACATAACAAGCTTAGAGCATTTTCAATAACACCTTTAAATCTGGAGATGCCAGATTTATTTCAAGATTTTGGTGACATTTTAGCATCTTTAAATTTGACATATGTCGCACTTGAATTTTAAAATTTAAGTGCGACAACACATATTTAAAAATAAGCAATCCAACCAAAATGTCAAATTTATTAGTTCATTTTTATTTTTTTATTATTGCACTCCAACAAAAATCTCTTGAAAGTGGACCCTATTAAAAAAATGTGACATATAATTCTATTTTTTATCATATTTTCACATTTTTGGATACAATTGAACCAGCCTCATTGACTTGTATCAAAATGAGGTAAAGAGTAATGCATTGGTGACACATAAAACATTATTCAAACTATCACTGATATTCATTTTTTTTTTCTTAATATATAGTATAATAAAAAATGATTTTGGGGATTGGAAATAATTTTTTACTCAATAAATAACTTTTGGCACTGTTTTCTTTTTATGTGAATTATGGAGGAAACGCCAAAAATCAAATCCCATCAATATAAATAAAATAATAATAATTTTTTGGCTACAATTACAATATGGTGATCTGGGCCATGTGTCTCGGCTACAAGCGTTTTGGATTTTTTGTTTTGTATTGTTTTGTTTTGTTCTTTTGTTTTTTGGAGCAATGTATTATTATTGATAACCCATCATGTTTTTGGAGGCCCAACTGTAGCAGGCCTGGCCCATTTCGCATCAACTTTTTCAACTGTCATGTCTGCCGTTTGGATTTTGCTCAAGTACCCTCTCATTTGAGCATATTTATAATTATTCCACATATTCTTCTATATCTTAATCATACTCAATTTTTTCATGAAGATTGATATGCTTGATATGCCTAAGGTACTATTTCTTTTACGCAAACAATCCCCCTAACTACACTTTTACCAACCAAAAACAGTAGTCAAGGCACCTTCAACCCTAATTAAAAAAACAATTTAAAAAAAAATACATGATTTATTGTGCATTTACTTAAAAAATATTTTGGTAACATGAGACTTGAAAAAGTTATACATTTTATATACAAATATGTGTACTGAAATAACGTATAATTTTTTTAAACTATAAATGAACTCTATTTCTGTTTATTGTACAGAGGTTTTAGTTACATGATATTTTTATTTTCTTACACTATTTTCTAATTACACATGTCTCATTTTTATTTTCTTACACTATTTTCTAATTACACATGTCTCTAAAATTCAAAAAAAAATCATTTCATCTTATTCACTAACATTTTATTATCTCTTTATGCACTTTTCTAACTTTCACACCCCATTTCTATACCTATGCAACTTTGCTACCACTTCTGTCATAACAAGTCTCCTAATTTCTTAACTGTTATTTTATTTATCTTCCCTACCAATTCCTGGCCTCGTAACACTTTCTCTTATTCTATAACAATACTGTTTCATACCTTACAATACTCTACAACTCTTCTCATTTCTGTTCATCTTTACTTTCGCGGCCACCACTAACTCTTTTATCTTTTCTTTGTTTATCAACTTCTTATCCCTTGCAACCAACGATCACTTTTGCAAGGAATAGTGTATCTTTCAAATATATGATTTTTAGTATAAGGTTTAAAGAAGAAAAAGAAAAAGATAGTGACTAAGGCAAAAGTGAAGAAATGAAATGGAACTGGGAAGTGATAACATAGAGATGGTAAAGAAAATAATGGTGGCAGCTTAAGGCTGTAGTGGTGGTTTGGTAGAGATGGTAGAGGAGTCAATGGAAGAATAAATTGTTTTTTTTTTTTTTTTTTCAAAGTTTGAATATTTTTTGATAAATTTAAGCAGTGGTTTGAAATGATTTAAATAAATATATTTTTTTGATTTTTTTTTTTTTTTAAATGTAAAGTATGAGTTGGGTTTGGGGGTGTTTGGCAAAGACTTTTTTAGCTTTTGGACTAAAATTTACAAAATGACAAAATAGACTAAAATAATTAATCAGACAAAATGTCACATTAAATTCGTAATTATTTTACTTTTTCTATCATAAACATCACATCCAACTACAAAACATTCAACTATCTTCTTAAACACAAAAAATTTAACATACTAAAATAGCAAAAAACTAAAATAACCTACTAAAATAGCAACTTCCCAAACACCCACAATGTGATAGAGAGATAATAATGTGATTCAAATAAAATGATAGTGACTCAAATATGATAACGTACTAAAATAGCATATGTTGTTTTGGGCTAATTTGAGAATTTGATTAAAATATAATTTTAACATATTTTGGATCACATCACATCTCTATTTTTTTTTACATATTTAAAAAAAAGAGTCAAAAAATTAATTTTTAACCAAGTTCACAAAACAAGTCTTTAGTGCATGCTAAACAGTCCTAAATAATAGTAAAATTATATTAATTTTTTTTTGTAATAAAATGGTGTGAAGAATTATTTCCATTAGATTTATTTATTTATGTTCTTTCCAATTATGTTTACATATAAAAATAATTAATTTATATCATCATTTTTTAGTTCATTGAAAAATTGCCAATTAGCCCCACCTGGACATTGGCCCTATTTGGCGGGTTTTCGTCTATTATTAACTAAAATCTAAAGAAAAGGTAAAATAGACCAAATAATTAATAAAATAAAATATTATATTAAATTTAAGCATATTTTATTTTTTTCATAATTATAAAATTTTAAATAAAATATTATATTAAATTATTTTATTTTTTTTTCATAATTATAAAATATAAAAAAAGCATATTTTATTTTTTTCATAATTATAAAATTTTAAATAAAATATTATATTAAATTATTTTATTTTTTTTTCATAATTATAAAATATAAAAAAAACATATTTTATTTTTTTCATAATTATAAAATATAAAAAAAAATCAAACATTTTTTTGAACACAAAAATTTCTATATACTAAAATAATCAAAAATTAAAATAATTTATTAAAATAATATCTTCCCAAACACCCATATTGCAGAGCTGTCCCTGCGTTGTCTTTTTATTGTACTTGCACCTTCTTCTCTTTCCCCTCTCGCTCTCTCTCTCTCTCTCTCTCTCGCATCGCTCATCAATGGCTTCTTCAAGCTCCGGAAACTCAATTCCTGCTCCAGGTACCCTCAATTTTACAGTTAACACACACACACACACACGCATATTCATATTTGCGCATAAAGTAGCCTTCTTTTCGTCCATGTTTGAATTTCTCGCATTTTCTTCTAATTTCTGATCTTTCTCTGTTGCAGAGGCAGTCCGGGTTCTAGTTTCGTCTCTGGCTGATGAATCTCCCATGGTCAGAGCAGCTTCCATGGCTTCTCTCAAGGACATCGCTCTCCTGTATTAAATCTATCTTTCTCTCTCACACAGAGCCCTACATTTATGCACACACATATGTGTGTGTAATTGTGTATTTATGTATAGTTGAAGGAGATTGGGAGTTCTGTGAACCCTTTTTTTTCATAATTTGTTGATTTTGCAATTTGTAGGAACCCACTTCTAGTTCTTGATTGTTGCTCTACTGTTTCTCGAGGAGGTCGTCGGGTACTACTCTATTCACGTGTTCTTGTTTAGAATCTGAATTATGCTTGTGTTTTTATCTAGAAAATGTGGAGTGTAATTGGGCAATTGGCAATGTTTCAGCGTTTTGGGAATATGGCTGGTGTTTTTCAAGTAATGGCTGTCGCAATCCGTGCCTTGGATAAAGAAGATGCTGATCCTCCTGACATGGCAAAGCTCGCCAAGATTGCCACTGCTGAGATGATCTCCTCCAAGGTACAACTTTAACTTTGTGGCATTAGCATTGTTGATAGTAAAGGAGTTCAAAATTGGCGAATATGGTCGATAACACACAAAAAAAATTGATAATGCACTTGAGTTTTCATTTTAATCCTACTTGAGCACCGTTTTATTTGTTTTTATTTATCTATAGTTTTTGATGTATTTGCAGCAATTAAGATGAAATCAGTTCTTCTTCGATTGTTTCTTTACTCTTTCATATGCAGTTCATCGGAAGAACACAGAAAATTTAAGAAAAGTATTAAAAAAGGAGTCCTTTTTTTGGAGTGTATGTGTGACAGGCATGCAGCTACATGTTCATCTTTCTACAGAGGAGTTCATTAATAAGTTGAAAGCGTACAAGCTTGTCTGTTGTTAAAAATTTGGCTAGAATTTTGTTTAGGTTTATCCAAAGAGAGATTTTTTGTTTTGGACGAAATAACTACCGTTCTTGAAGTCCATTGGCTTAATGCTGTGAAGCAAAGTGCCACATTGCCTTGATATGAAAGTAATGTGCAGTATGTAACTGTGAACCTCACCTCAATATCTAGTAGATCACCACTAGTCCCAAATGCTTAAGCCGTTAAGAAATGGACAAAATAATGTATATCAAGCTATCCAATACCCTTCATCATATGCCCTCTCGTTTTGCATGTGAATATGCAAACATCCATATATATAGAGAAGAAAGAATGCAAATGGGAACCAAATGCAAATGGAGAGATTTGAACTCAAGCCTCTAACCTGAGCTCTAATACCATATTAGATCACCATTAGTCCCAAAAGCTTAAGTTGTTAGGAAATGGGCCTAACAATGTATATGCGAAGAAGTGACTATTATATAATTAAGTTGGAAGAAAATTAATCACTAGAATTTATTTTTTAAATTATAGATTTGATTTTGTAATGTGCTCAATGTTAAGGAGACCAAGCTAATTATGAATAATAAACAATAGCAAATTTGGTAGTTTTGGCAACATGAGCTGGTTGGTAAACAATGTTTTATTCTACTTGAATTTTTTGATTAGGGGGCAGATCTGTTAACCTAAGCAAGCAGGGGGTTTGGAGGTTGGTGCCTTTTAATAGAGCTTTGTTAGAGAAATGGTTGTGGCGTTTTGCTTTGGAGCATGATAGATTACGGCGGAAAGTGGTGGCTTCTAAGTATGGGGTGGGAAGGGGGGATTAGATCTCTGGGGATGTGACCGGTACTCATAGTTGTGGGCTATGAAAAGGGATTTGGCTGGGGAGGGTGTAGTTTTGGAATCGGGAGGCTACAGTGGCATCTTAATTAGGGGGTGTGATCGTGTGGGATATTCAGCTACCGCGGGAGGTGCAAGATTGGAAGGTTGCTTAGTTGACGGAGTTATGGGGTTTCTTATATGGGTTAGGGATTACTGGGGTGGGACAAGATCAGTGTTTTAAAAGGCTCTAGGCGCACTGAGGCGATAAGGTCTCCTATAGCCTAAGCGCGAGGCGCGAGGCGAAGCGCGTGCCTTACCAAAGCGAATCTCAAATAGAAGAAGAAAAGCAAAATTATAAAATAGGCAAAATTTTTAACATAAAAAATATATATATATATATATATATATAATTTAAAAAATCATAACAATTTTCGATAATCTCTAAACGTAACATTTAATCTTCTAAAAATAAGAAATATACTATCCAATAAGAGATATAAAGTATAACATTCAATCTTTTATGATTTTCTACTCTCTTTTGACCACATTTAGTCATTTTATATTGAAGAGTTTTGAATCCCTATAGGTATGCCCACAAAAAAAGCACTTAATTGACAATTGGAGTAGAAAAATAGGTAAAGCCCATGAAGCCCGCGCCTTGTGCCTCGAAAAAAAACCCTTGCCTCAACGCCTAAGTTGTGCCTCGCCTCGACCTGTTCGAAGCGCAAGGCTGCGCCTCATTGCGCCTCGCGCTTAGGCGCGCCTTTTAAAACACTGGACAAGATGTTATGGTGTGGAGTGGGGTGGGCGCAAAGGGGCGGTTCTCAGTTGCATCATTATATTGGGGTTTGGTGGGGGAGAGTGGAAGGACTTATCTCTGGAAGAGTGTTTGGGCGCCAAGTGCTCCGTCTAAGGTGGCTTTCTTCATGTGGATGGTCGTTTTAGGGCGAAATCTCACGTTGGATAAGTTGATGTGGCGTGGGCATGTTTTAGTGAATCGGTGTTGTATGTGTTGTACTGATGCGGAGTTTGTAAACCACTTGTTTCTTCATTGTTCGGTGGCTTCGTGGTTGTGGGATTTCATTTGTTCTCTTTTTGGGATTACTTGGGTTTAACCGAAGAGGGTGTTGGATATGCTTTTGGGTTTGGCGAGGTGCTCAGATCGGGCATCGACGGGTATGGTTGTTGGCATCATTTTGTTTGATGTGGCTTGTTTGGTTGGAGCGAAATAGACGTACCTTTTTAGAGGTTTATCATGATGTTTCTTGGTTAGAGAATCGTTTTGTAGTTACGTATAGTTGGTTGGAGAGGAAGGTTGATCCAGACTTTTTTGTTTTTTTAGATTTTCTAGGTGATTAGATAGTGCTTGCTTCTGGTTTTTTCCCCTATTAGGGGATGCCATTTTGTATTTGTTGCATCATCTTGATGCTTTCTTAATAATATTTGTTTATTTATCCAAAAAAAAAAAAATTTATGATGTCTCATCATCTTTGGAAATTTAGGTATAAAGCCATTGATAGGCGTGGTTAGATATTAAATTATACAAACCAGAGAAATTTGAGTATTGGCCCAGAGAAAGCAGACAGTGCTATTGTTTCAAGAATAGAAACGAGTTTGATGAAAAATAAATATCAAAAATGTAATTTTAAAATTTATTTATGGTCTCCTATAACATAAAATTATATAAAAATGATAAGTGTTTTTGATTTTTTTTTTATTTCTTTTGCCAAATTAATTTTAGTTTTTTAGAAAAAAAAAAATTTTAAATAAGTTTTTGAAAACCAAACCAAACCAAACATGGCCTAAAGTTGTTGAAGGAGGGGACCTAAAAGGGTGGAATAAGGAGGATTTTAGGGTTTTGGGGTCCAAAAGGCACAAGGGTGTTGGAGGAAATTTGAGTTTTGGATGAGTGGGAGGGGAGTGCTGGTTTGACGGAAGAGTAAAAATTATAAGTCATCTGAAGGAGGAGTTTGGGAAGATAACTAAGTTGGGGGAGATCAATTGGAGTTGGAGACATAAATAGAAACAATTATGGCTCAAGGACGGAGACAAACACTACGTTTTTTTACCAAATAGCTAATGGTCATAGAAGAACTAATCTAATTAGTAAGATCCCTATTAGGGACAAATTCTGATCATTAAGGAGGGTATTCGAGGTGGTATTGTGTGCTTCTATGATGATATTTATTAAGAGACTAAGAGTTGGAGACCAGGTTTGGATGATTTGTGGAGCTTAGTCAGGTCACAATTGAGGAAGGGAGTTTATTGGAGTGCGCTTTCATTGTAGCCTTCACCATGAAAGGGAATAAGACGTCAGTTCAAGGAGTCATCTCCTTATTCACCAGGAATTGTGGACTTTGACTCTTGGTTTATTTGATGTAGAGCAGGTTTCCTTAGAAGGTGGCAGATCTTCTTGGTTCTTGTTGGGGAGTTAGAGTGGGGAAGAAAAGGAGGAAGGCTTGGTTTTTAGTCTCTTTAGCTTTGATGTGGATTGTTTGGTGAGAACACAATAGGAGGACGTTTGATGGGAATGAAGTGCATATTTTCAAATTGAAAAGTAGAATATTATCTTTTTTGGATAGTTGGTTCTTGGGCATTATTGATCAATTGGCTTGATTTTGGATTTTGTTGAGGCTTTTGATGTATAGATGGGATAGATTTTGTCCATTTTTGTTTTTTTGAGGCTTTGGAGTGAAATTTCCAACACTTTTCCCCCTCTTTCCCCCCCTTGAAATCTTTTAAAACCAAGCTAATCTCAGTCCATTTCATCTACCCAATCTTTGTTACACCTTTCCAAACCCTAATGGTACAAGCTTTCCTTTGTCATAGGCCACCGTAAACTTAATTATAGGTTGCATCACTCTAGTATCATTGGCAATTGGCATATTTATTGGTGTTGAGAATATATATAATAAAGTTACCTCTTTATCAACTAAAACTTTTAGATGAGTTGGTGGTCAACAATATAACATGATGTTAGAGTAGACAATAGATTTTGTGTTAGATTATAATTCTTGCACTTTTTTGGCCCACTTATGAAGGAGATAAATAATAAAGTTATGCCCCTCGCTAATGACTTCAGTCGTTAGATCAATTAGTAGTCAACAATTTCACACTTGGATAGACTATAATTCATTTCGGTGATGAATGGATGATGGCTTCAGTTGTATAAGTGGCTCCAACCACTGGGGTTTTCTTTGCCTTGCATAATCTCATTTTTTCTTCTTGGGGAAGCTGTTAGGCAACATGCATGCATTGTGAGGTTGGGTCAACTGGCTCGCCTCAGGTGTGCACCAATTTCCTTGTCCCTTCTGCCAGCAATGCGCCCCTGGTCTTAATTGTTTGGGTTGTATTGATTCTGATTTGACACGTTTTATTTGGTAATAGAAATAGTGATGCTATTGTACACTATTTCAACTATGTTGGCAATCCTTAATCTTTATCAGGTTTAAATGAACTTTGATTTTGATTCTTGCCAGCAATTTATTTTTCATGAATGATGTCTTATTTCTCCTTTTGTTTTGTTTTACCTTCTTCCAGGAACTTAATGCTGACTGGCAAAGGGCTGCAGCAGGTGTACTTGTTGCAATAGGCTCACATCTGCCAGACCTGGTAATTTCTTTGATTTGGTTGCTAGAACTGATGAGAGGTTTCATTGGTAGGTTATATATGTGTAGTGACATAGAATCATGATATTGAGAACTGAATACCTTTCTTTTTATTTGCATTATCTTTCTTTTCTTTCCTTTTTCATTAAAGTCAAATGACAATACTGGCTTTTGTATTTACTTCTTTAATTTATTGTTTGGCCTTTATATGTATAAGCAAGATGGGGTAAAGTGAGAAAAGAAAGCTACACATCAGAAGTAAGAAGAAAAAATGAATTAGTTATCCAAAGAAGTGGAGATGGTGATATCTCTAATGTGATTGAAGTCTGAAATGCAATATGATAATACAGTCAAGCATTATCTTTCACAAGATTGTGTAATCATTGAACTTCTACCAGTTCTTTTAACTTATCTTTCTGTTATTTGAAAAAGAGCTCTCTGCATTTTAGGTGGCACTTATGCTAAAATATTTACTTGATTCTCATACTTTCACTAACCAAAATAAAATATTTATTACACACTCATTTACATATGCAATTATAGTATATACTCTTGGTAATCTACTGAAGTGGTATACTTTTGCAACCCTACTTACAACTCTTTGACACTGAAGTCAGAATACCATTGGTAATCTGCTGAAGTGGTATACTTTTGCAACCCTGCTTACATCTCTTTGTCACTGAAGTTAGAACCTTTACATTTTCAGAATATTGTTTCACAGATTGACTTTCTGCTACTTCAGTCTTTTCTGAACATATTTACTTTTACTTTGATCTAGTAGACAATTGAATATTCTTGACCTTATACATTTCTCTCACTACCCCCCTCTCTTAACTTTTGTTCTGTGCCTTGATGGAGCTTTCTATGTTCTGTTTTATGCTTTTGCAGATGATGGAAGAATTGTTTCTTCATCTATCCGGACAAAATTCAGCTCTTCCATCTATGGTTCAAGTGCTTGCAGACTTTGCTTCTGCTGATGGTTAGTCATCAAACTTTCTTCTTCTTCTTTGAATTTTCACAATGCATTTGCTCAAACTCTAGTGTGTAATGAACTTTCTTTTTTAATTGAAGCATTGCAGTTTGCTCCACGCCTGAAAGGTGTACTTTCACGGATTCTTCCAATTCTTGGAAATGTTAGAGATGCCCACCGGCCAATTTTTGCAAATGGTATCATGAGTTCTTTTTGGCTCCATTATTTCAGTTGATAATTGAATTTGGGTTCACGAAACTATGCCAGTTTATCCTGGTATGTTCGATTGGGTTGAACTGGATAGTTTGCAAGCCAAATTTTATGCCAAGTCTTGCATGTTTCCATTCTTAATTCAAACCATATAAGAGTTCCAAGACTGCTCTTTGTTTTCCCCTGCTTTTCTAAGCTAAGAATTTTAGAAAAAGAGATGGGGGTGAAGCACTTTGAGGCCCAAAAAACAACAGACTAAAACATTTTCTACGTTGTTTACCTGGGGGGGGGGGTGGTTCTGGGGAAGACCTATGTGGGGCACCTTTTGGGTGTTAACACCTTTAAAGTATCTTCTCTCTGTTTCAAGGAATACTCTCAAATTTGTAAGAACTTGGCGTGTATAATCCACATGTTCTGACATTTGAATGAAAATGGCTGCATAGGAGAATGATCTGATGCTGAGTGTGGCAAGTTTTTCACCATATTAGAGGAGAAAAAACCTATAACATTCCTCTAAGTCATCCCAAAGACACATGAAGACTGGCCTAATCAAACAAGCTTGACTTGATTTTATCAACAAGGAAAAGAATACCAAAAGAATTCTGAAGTTCTTTGTTCAAATGTCCTGGGCAGTTCCAGCTGGGGGTAGATGCTGCACCAGCTTGCCTTAATGCTCCGCTAACAAAACCGCATTACATTACATAAAGGGGAGGGAAAGAAAGTAAACGCAGGAGACCAAAGAAAGCGTTACATCACAAATAGGAGTGAGCACTCAATGTATAAGCAGATGATCAGAAGTTTCGACTGATTGAAGGCAAATGGCATTCTATTTAACGAAAATTGTCTCTCATTGAGCTTATCAAGAACAAATTTTTTATCCAGGGTAGCAGGCCACATGCAAAAGGCTGCTACCTTTGAAAGGACAAATATTTGCTGAATATATGAATGGGATGGCTAACATTAGCACATATCAAAGTTCTAAAAGGCTTATTGATGCTTGCGTTGAGGCGAGGCTAGTGAAAAAACACATCAAGGCTTTGAGTTTTAGGCTATACTCTTCAAAATATTGTGCATCGTAATATGAGGCATGAGCCTTATACACCTTTTAGCATATTAGGAATACACATATGAAGAGCTTCTCTTAGGCTCTTGTTAAACTTAGTCTGGTAGATGGTTTAAACATAAAAAAGTAAAAAGAACCACTTTTGCAAATACATTCTATAGGAAAAATTAAGTGAATGAAAGAAAGAATCCTTCTTGCAACTATGTTCTGTAGAAAAAATTAAGTAAATGACCAATCAAATAAAAACACAAAGTTAATGCTCAAGTGAGAAGCTCAATCACTAAAGCTAAAAATGCCAATTTTAGTTTCAATGAGGGCAAGCTTCCTTCTTTGTAGTGAAATGTTTGACGCCTTGAGGAGAAAAATATTTATACCTTTATATTTAATTTTTAATATATATATATATTTTTTAATTTTGAAATATTTAATTTATTTTCTAAATATAAAATTCAAAATTTAAAATGTTTATCCCTTGATGCCTCAAGGCTTATGGGCTCGTTTGGTTTGATTTTCTGAAAAAATTTTGGGAAATTTTCTCTATAAATAAGTTTTCAAAAATAATCAAACCAAACAAATTTTCCCAAAAAAATTTCTCAAAACTTGTAAACCAAACAAGTTTTCCAAACAAATCTCTCTCTCACACATATCAAATCAATCACTTTTTCCAAAACTCTATCTCAAAATAATTTTCCAAAACATCTTTTAAAAAAAACCAAACCAAACATGTTTTCGTACTTTTTATCTCTAAAACACATCTCTCAAACACAAACCAAACATACCCTATGTCTTGTCTGACGAGGGATAAAACGCCTCACGTTACATAGTCGCCTTAAAAAACTTTGACACATATTTGACCCATATGAGAAGAGGACCCTTTACTATTCAAGCCACGACTTAATGACTTAATGCCTAATGCTATTAGAGACCTTGAACAAATCTCCAATGCCCCTTACTGATGATCATAAGGGTGAATGGTGAGGCCCCCATCTTTTGAGGGGAGAAAACTTCTATTTGTATCTCCTGTCTCCCAGCTGCCTCTTTTAGATTGAAAGTAGAGATAGAAGGAAAGTGGACGAATATATATAGTGCTCAACAACCTTAGGCACATATTTGCATTTCTGAGAACTGAGATACCATTTCTTTCCATCCACAAATTTCTGGGTAAATCTTAGCTTTCTTCCCATCATGGAGAAGATCTAGATGAGTGAAACAAGAACCATACCAGTCCTGATCGCATGCAAAAGAGAAAAGGTCAATCTCTTCTTTTACATGTATAACCAGAACTTTTAAAGATTAACATGAAGCCCCAACACAAGCTAGAAGATGATAAAAGTGATACTCGCATGTTGATACTGCTCAATGGAGGTCATAGAGAAATTATGGGACTGCTATAATGAAAGACTTTATAGCCTGAGTAGAAGCTTCCTTATCTGCTTGTTTAACCATTCTACTCAATGTTTTAGTCAGAAGGATGAGCAAGGACGATAATGTGTTTCCTGTGTAGTCCTCCATAGATTTGGGAGGAAGACAAGAGTTTGTTTTTCTCATTTTTGTTGGATGGGGTTTCTGGGCCGTTAAAGATACTTGAGAAAGAGGCACTTGAATAGCAAGAATTCCAAGCCTCCACCTCAGGTCAATGACCATTCAAAGTAGCACTGAATCCTAAAGTCCTTAGATGATCATTAGCTTTCCCCAATTTTATTATTATTATTTTTTTAATCATCTCCACCACACCCATCTCTACTCTTGTGAGCTTCACCCATCACACAACTAAATTACATATCACATAGTTTACTTGTTTGGGTTTCATTAATTTGTAGCATGATCTTTATAATTGAAGAAAATATAAAACTGAGTGGATCTTATTATACTAGATGGACTTACTAATGAAAACAGAGTCATGCTATGAATTCCGGAGATTTGCGAATTAGTACCTTAAGTGAAACTTACCTAAATCCTGGATTGAATTGATAACTTATTTGACTTATCTGTAATTTAAGTTATGTTTTGAGGCTTACCCCTTGTTTCGGTGCCATATAGCATGTCACGTTTTGACTTTTATACCTTCTTTGAGTGCTAAAGGCATCCTTAAATGATTTGCCTTGACATTTTCCAGAACATGGCAGTGTGAAGACTTGAACCTGTGCTAAAAATCATATTCCGAGGGCACTAGCTAGAGGACTGTAGATTGCTATATGTCGACTTAATGCTATTTTGAAGATGACCTAGAGTGCAGGATATTTTTATAATCGACACTTTTGCTCTCCTCCCTCTCTTGCTGTAGCTACCCTAGTGCATTCCTAGTATTAACCAGAAAAATTCTTCTCTCAGCCCATTATCTAGAGTAAATTCAGTTTCTTCTTTAATGATTCCAGTTCATCATAGCTAGAGATTATATTATGGTGTTTGAATGCTTTAGTACCACAGTAAAAGCCGTAAAGTTGACGAGATTAGGTAATTTCAATTAGTTAATCTTGGTCAATCAGCTGGTGCAATGTGGTCGACTGACCTACCTTCGCCATTTTGATTCAGTTGTTTACTTTTTTAGAAGTGTGTGTTCAACCTGAATTTAAGCATTTTGCACATTTTTTTTCTTTCAAAAATGATATTGTGGAGATACAACACTATTGCATTTAACATCTTTCAGTTCTTTTTTTTTTTGGCTAGCTAACTTTTAACTTTGTTATTCATTTCCAGCCTTTAAGTGTTGGTGTCAGGCTTGTTGGCAGTATGGTGTGGATTTCCCTTTGTCTTCACTTCTTGACAGTGATGTCATGTGAGGCCAATTATTTGCTCTCTGGTTAATTTTCGATGCTTATTATTTTTGACAACCTTTTGTTAATGATAATGTCATTTGCTGCAGGTCATTTTTGAATTCTGCTTTTGAGCTTTTATTGAGAGTTTGGGCAACTTCACGGGATCTAAAGGTTTCAAACTGTTTTCTTGTTCCTGTCTCCCTCCATCCTCAGAAGTATTATTCTCTTGTTATTTTGTACATTTATACCTTCATTGTTTGTTCTCAATAACTTTTTAATTTCTTTTCGCTTTGGAAAATAAACTTCTCTTAACCTCTGCTTTGCGGAAGAAACCCAGGTGGTTCTATATTGCAGTGTGTCCTATTTTGCATATGAAGTGTGCATTTATTTATTTACTGCCTATGCATCTATCTGGGATGTGCACGGTTATATTATATCATATATTTCTTTTTACTTATTAGTTTGATTAATCCCACTATTGTCTGGAAGAGATAAAAAGGGTGTGTATATGTCTTTTTTAGCTATAAATTTATTGCGTAGAGCTGTATTGGTATCCCATGGTAGTGTCAGATATCCTAACTCATCCAATATGTTGTTTTCAGCTGAGTAGTGTACTATGCCATAGATCCATATTTGACTTTGTCAATATTTGATGGGTATTAAGTGCTGCAACTCAGTATCAGTTGATACTTAAGAACATGGTCGTGCTTTGTGCATCCTTGATATTTGTTCTCCTTCACTTTGTTTTTTGGCAGTCAGCTTATGAATAGATTGAATTTCTGAGTTCCATGTATTAACCTAGTTTTTTTGTTTGCAATAGGTACGCCTATCTACTGTGGAGGCATTGGGTGAGATGGTTGGTCTAATAACTCGAACACAATTGAAGTTGGCTTTACCAAGACTTGTTCCCACTATATTGGAACTGTAAGCTAGACTTGCAGTAAGACGCTTTATAGAAAATGTTTATATTACTGTGCAGATGTGCCAATCTTTAGTTGAACAGTTTGTTAAATTAATGATGGTACACAGCATGGATTTACTGTGTTTTTCTTTTGCTTTTCTTGTTAATCAGGTATAAGAAAGATTTTGATGTTGCCTTTGTGGCAACATGTAGTCTCCACAATCTCCTAAATGCCTCTTTACTGTCTGAAAGTGGTCCTCCTTTGCTTGATTTTGAGGTGATGCATAATTCCTTTGTTTTGTCTGCTATCTAATTATAGTCAAACTTCCATCTATTTCTTTTTGTTGTAATTATTAGATGCCATTAGTTAGCCATTATGATTGCTTTAGTAGGGGGTCATGTTTCCTCTTGCCACTTTGTAAATGGCTTAGAAAACTATATTAGGGAAGTGCCTTACTCCACTAGTTTGCTAGTCTTTTGCCTATGCTAGTGTATTGTCTTGCGACTTGCTTGTGTATTGCTATAGCATTGAAAAACACCTTTTTTTTCCCCCATTGCCTTTCTTTAGTTTCCTGGATAAAATTGATCTCCCCTCTATATCCCCAATTAAACAAGACCTTTAGTGATTTTTCTGTTTGTCTTGTGGCTTACTAGTTTATTGCTATAACATCAACACAAATTTTGCTTCCAATGTCATCTCCAATGACCTATTTAATGTGAGATTGTATATTCATTTTATTTGTTACTCAGCCACCAAATCAAAATCTCTTATTCTGTAAAATGTTTGTTAAAATTCACCTACTCTCCACCTACTTCACCCACTTAAACCTACTCCACTAAACCTAACCCACTACACCACTACCACCTCACCTACTCCACTAAACCTAACCCACTACACCACTACCACCTCACCTACTCCACTACACCACTACCACCTCCACTTCACCTACTCCTTACCTACTACACACTCACCCTCTTCTATATATAGGAATCATGAATCATTGTAATAGATATCAATATATCAATCAATAATAATACATACAATTTATTCTCTCTCTTTCTCTATACATTATTTCTTACAATGTTGTTATATCAATTCCTTTTATCAATCTATTCATGCTAGATGTACATACTTTTTCATTTTTATTTTTTTTGGGTTAGCTTCTTTTTTTGATGGTTATTCTATGTTGTATGTTGCAGGACCTGACAGTTGTTTTGTCAACACTTCTTCCAGTGGTTTGCATTAATAATGACAGCAAAGATGTTTCAGATTTCTCAGTGGGATTGAAGGTTTGCTTATATGATAGCATCAACCCATCCAATGCTATGTTAATCTTCTTCATTCTTTGAATTTGATAAAGTTGATTATTGCGTGCTATTGAAGTCCAACTTCTTACTCCTTCCTTTTTGCTTTATTCAATTTTTTGTAGAAACGTTTGTGAATTCATTTTGTTCAATTGCAGCAGCCTTTAGTTTCTATTTATTATTATTTGTTTTTTGGCATGCACTTACGTGTGTATGGCCTGCCTGTATGTTTGATACTTTTTATGAACAATGATAAGGTGGGATTTGCCTCAATCTTTTTCTTTCTGAATTTTGTTTGACATTTTGTGTATGCTTGTCTGCATACTTTCTATGAATATTCAACAAATGAGGTACTACCATAAGGTTGGGTTCACCTCAGTTTTCTCCTTCCTGTTTCTGTTTTATAGATGCTCTAATTTTCGTATATGACTGTTGGGATGATTTTTTTAAATTTTTTTTAGATACTTGTATTGTATTCATTGACTTAATGGAAAACCATTGTTTCTTGCCTTCAAGTGTGACTTGACATATTAGTGTGCTGTGCTTTATGTTCGATTGGATAGCAATTCTTGTATTTTTTTTTTTACAAATTTTGTTTTCTTGCCTTGCTTTTTGTATGTGGCAGACCTACAATGAAGTTCAGCATTGCTTTATGACAGTTGGCTTGGTATACCCTGAGGATTTGTTCATGTTCCTCCTGAATGTGGGTACCATTTCCCAGCTAGATAACTTTCCGAGGGTCATTACTTTGCAAGTTTAGCTTCATTGTATTTCCTTCATTCATGCATGTGACTGAAAAAGAAGGAAAAGGAACATAAAATAGCATGGAAACCATTAGCTTTCCTGTTATAAAATTTTAATTAATTTAATATCTTTGCCATCACCTTTTCCATTTCATGAATCTGAGTATGTTGTTACTACCAGAAATGCAGGTTGAAGGAAGAATCTTTGACTTTTGGTGCACTTTGTGTCTTAAAGCATCTACTGCCAAGGTTTCTTTCATTTCCTTGTCTTTATTATATTATTAAATATCCTATATCAACTTTTTTTTTTTCTTGTGGAGGTTGTCTGAAGCTTGGCATAGTAAAAGGCCTGCACTTGTTGAAGCTGTAAAGTTGTTGCTAGATGAGCAAAGTTTGGGGGTTCGTAAAGCGCTTTCGGAGGTTTGTTATGAACTGATAGCCATAGCTCTTGTTATGGCATTAATAAAAGACTTCCGCTTTCAACTTCTAATATGTTATCTTGTTGCTTTTGTGGCAGTTGATTATGGTTATGGCTTCACATTGTTATTTGGTTGGTCCATCTGGGGAGTTGTTTGTTGAATTTCTTGTACGCCATTGTGCTATATCAGATAAGCAGAAAAATAATCTCGAAAGCTCGAAGGAAGCCTTTAGGTCAACTGGTGTCTATTATGCTTTCCCATACAGGAGATATGAGGTTAACACCTGATATTTAAAAAGATGCAATTTTGAGTTACTACTTAGTTTATTTTTGAATTTTATACACCATGTGAAGTATATTAGGTTGATCATCATCAGAAAAAAAAAAAAAAAAGTGTGATCACAATGATTTTGGCATTGACTACTTTTGGCATGTTAGGGTGGGTTCTGGATCCATGAATTAATGCATTGCATCCAGTGCTGGTGCTCTAAAACCAAGTCCTTGAGTTTGATCCCTTTGAATAACGTAATCATTACGTGAGTATAGTCATCTATAATTCACTGTAGTTATTAAGAACTTAGTGTCTTTTTCAGGGTAAGATTGGGGCGGTTTGTCTGACAGAATTACGAGAAATCTGTGAAAAAGGTCTACTTTTAGTGACCATTACCATTCCTGAAATGGAGGTACAATAGATATTTGATCTATAATAATTCAAGTTTGTTTTACATTCTCATTTCTTGGTGATATAACTTCACCTATAGGGTCATATGTTGTTGGTAATCAGAATATCCAATTGTGACTAACATTCATTTCTGTATTTGATTTTGCAGCATATCCTCTGGCCTTTTTTGCTGAAGATGATCATTCCACAGGCTTACACTGGTGCAGTTGCCACGGTAGGACTTGTCATGCATCATTATTTGTCATTTAGGGAAATTGGGGATTGGTTTGTGTCTGAACTTCTGCATGCATTTTGCTAGTGTGTTGAAATGGGATTTGCAGTGTAACAATTTCTTGTTTTTTTGGCACAAGAGTATGAATTGCTACTTTCACAGGTTTGCAGATGCATCTCAGAATTGTGTAGACATAGATCTTCTTATAGTAATTCAATGCTTACTGAGTGTAAAGATCGAGCTGATATTCCAAATCCTGAGGTGAAATCTCTGCTGGTGTACTTGATATGTTAAATACTTTGTTTTATCATCCTACATATGAAATGTCAATGTTAACGTCTATGTGGTGTGCGTAAATTCAGGAACTTTTTGCCCGCTTGGTGGTGCTTCTGCATGATCCTCTTGCTAGGGAGCAGCAGGCCACTCATATTTTGACTGTAAGTGTGTCTTATCATGGACTAATGAAGAGCATCACATTGATGTGTCCAACATAGATCAATATTTTCTTTTTAAGCTCATTTAGTTATTACAAGTGCTACATTTGAGTTGTTTTGGAAAAAATGAGGTTTAGAATTTATCTCTCTCAAATTTCAAATGTTTTTCTTGGATTCAAAAGAGGCTCATTCATTATGTGAAGTATTGTCATTCTGCAGTGAGCATAGCTGCCACATGCTTACAATACTAACAATGATACAATTTTTTTGATGGATACGCAAATAAGGGGTTCATTCAAATAAGAGGGTTGTTGAAAGATATTTGGAAAATTTTGGGGGATCAAGTTTTAAAGTTTTATAGGTCGGTAGGGCAGAAAGGGTCAAGTTTTGGAGGCATAGGTGGTGTGGTGAGGTTGTGTTGCAGAGGGCCTATGTTGCTACCAATAAATCAGCTTCGGTGGCTAATTATTTTTGGGCACAAGGGTGGATGAGTTTTAGGACATTGAGTTGAGAAGTCACGTGCAAGATTGGGACATGGATTGATCTTCTTAATATGCTCTATGGGATCAGGAGAGTTGGATATTGTGAAGACTCTATGGCTTGGATTGCAGTTAAGAAGCGGAAGCTCAAGGGGAAGTCCTTTTTGGGAGTGAATTCCCTCCAGAAAGGCATGTTGGCAGTTGGAGCTCCATCGAAGATTGCTTTCTTTGTGTGGAATGCAACCTTTCAGAAGATTTTGACTATAAACAATCTTATCAGCAAGTAATTGTTAACTGCTGCTGTCTTAATAGGTGTGGTGGATAAATTGTTTCTCATATGTGTTAAAATACAATGTATAAAATTGATTGTATTATTGATTCATATATGTTGTTGTATATTACAAATGGTGAGTGGCTCATTATATAGGAGAGGGTGAGTGTAGTAGGTGAGGAGTAGGTGAGGAGTAGGTGGTGGTAGGTGATGGTAAATTGGTGGTAGGTGATGGTAAATTCTAACAGCCCCCCGCAAACTCAAGGAGGATAGAAACTAACCAACTTGAGTTTGAAGAGAGGAACAAAACAAGAAAATACATAAAAAAAAAAAGAGGATAGGAGACACTGTATGGTCGTGTCAGACCATTGGTGAAGACACTGTATGGTGGTGTCATAACGTTGTAGAGGACACTGTATGGTGGTGTCATAACGTTGTAGAGGACACTGTATGGTGGTGTCATAACGTTGTAGAGGACACTGTATGGTGGTATCAGACCGATTTAGAAGACAGTTTATGGGGTCATGTCGGACCGTTGTAGCAGACAATGTTGTGACAGTTGTTGTGACAGTTTACGGAGTCTTGCTGGACCCTTGTAGAAACTAACCGGAATCAATGTTGGGACAGTTTACAGAGTCTTGTCGGACCATTGAAGGAGCTAACCGGAATCAATGTCGGGACAGTTTACAGAGTCTTGTCGGACCCTTAAAAAGTCGCACCCTCAAAAGGTGTGCCCAATCTTTCAAAAGGCGTGCCATCAAAAGGCGTGCCCAATCCATAAAAAGGCGTGCCATCAAAAGGCGTGCCCAATCCATAAAAAGGCGTGCCATCAAAAGGCGTGCCCAATCCATAAAAAGGCGTGCCATCAAAAGGCGTGCCCAATCCATAAAAAGGCGTGCCATCAAAAGGCGTGCCCAATCCATAAAAAGGCGTGCCATCAAAAGGCGTGCCCAATCCATAAAAAGGCGTGCCATCAAAAGGCGTGCCAAGTTGTCGGTCGTCAAGAGGCGCGCGATGCGCGTGGCTGCCTCGGCTATATAACCAAGACTGAACCTGAGGCTGAGGCAGACAAAAAACTTCTGAAAATCCTCTGAAAAAATCCTTCGTGTTGCTGAGAAAGAGAGTTCCTTGTGCTGAGAGAGATAGTCTGTAACACTTTGTTGCCCAGAAAATGGCCTCGTCTTCCCGTGGACTGCTCACCCTCTTTCCCGACCTCAACGAGTCAACAAGAGAGAGAACTGGAGCGGTGGCACTGGAACCTCAACCGAGTGCCCCGGAGTTTGCTCCGTTGAACTTTCCGATGCGGTCGGTGGAGCAAAAAATGGCAGTGCAAACGGATGTGGAGGCTAATCAGTATACTTTGAAGGCATGTGTGGAGTCCATGACGGCGGTCACAAACTTGTCGCACCGGCTGCAGAGTAGGACAAATGAGGTGCAGCAATTAAACGCCCAGCTGGCTCTGCTCTAACGCATGTATAAGGATGCGCGAGCAGAGATATGCGTGTTAAGGGCAGAAAACAAAGAGCTGAAGCGGAAGGCCACCGTGATGTTTCGATTTGGAGGTCCACCATATGCTGCAGTGGAGGAGCAGGGAGTAGTGATCATGCCCAGTGGACAAGGAAATACTAAGGCAACACCGGTAAGGGCCGCCCAGGACGGAGGCAAGAAGAAGAGACCCGCGGCAGAGTAGAGAAGAAAAATCCCACCTGTGGGTGTGGTAGTTGGGTGTGGATGGTTTTTGTTTTTTTTTTTTTTTTTTTTTTTTTTTTTTTTTTTTGGTGAAAAGGGAAATAATATTAATATGGGTATCATGGAGTGGGCGGTGGTACAAAAAATATTGTGTAGAAAAAGAGGGAGATGGTGGAAAAGGGAGGCCACTCATGTTATTAAAGCAGATCTTTGTCTGCTTGTTTTTTTTTTTTTTGTATAATAATAATAATAATAATAATAATAATAGATTAATGGTTTGAATGTGTAAGAATAATAATAATAATAAGAATAATAAGAAATTAAAGGTGAAAGCATGTGCCTTGGTGGGAGCAGACTCTTAATAGGTTCTGAAACAGTGGGATGAAAAAGAAAAAAAAATATAGATATAATAATAATAATAAGAAAAATAATAAAAATAATGGGTCACGTGGGTTGCTTGGTGTGGTGTTGTCGGTTTCATTTCAAAAGAGGGAGTAAAATAATAAAAAAGAAAAAGAAAGTTAAGTGGGTTTTCAAAAGATGGAGTAAAATAATAAAAAAAGAAAAAGAAAGTTATAGATGGACTCAGTGCTTCAGAAGAAAAAGAAAAAGAGGTATGGATTTTGCCAAAAGTTGACATAGTGGGTAATAGATTATAATAAATATATATATATATATATATTAAAATAAAAGAAAGTTGAGCCTCAAAAAAAAAAAAAACATAATTCAGCAGCTTTTCCCTGCGCGTTGATATCTCTGCCTGGAAATAGCTCAACTTTTCAGGTCACAACCAGTTAACTATAGGCCGTCCAATGAACTTAGACAGAAAATAGCAGGATGATGCTCCAGCGGTGGCGTTAAAGACAACTAAGAAAAAGCCTTTGATCACACAAAAAATGCTCCAGCCAGCAACGACATGAAAATGGTGCCAGGAATCATAAATGTCTGCATGAATATGTAAGTTGAGCAGTAACCTAGAATGAATTCTGCTGGGTAAGCTTTAGCATATGTTGCAAGGTGATCTTTGTTGCAGATCTGAAATGTGGCGGGGAAGCTGAAGTGGACTGTACTCCGCAGCAGGCATTGTCAAGTATACGCAGGAAAGGCCCGTGGAGAAGATCAAAAACACACCCAAAGCAGCCGCGAATTCTCACCGACTCGGCGGGAATGTGGTCTCCAATTTGGCCCCAACCGGCTTCTTGCTCGTGGGTGAGGAGGGTGGTGGTCGGATGGAGATGCCAGGGCTACCAGCGGTGACCGCCATGTTTGACGAGCAGCAGAGAGGAAATGGAGCTTCTGTATGTAGGGTTCTGGCAGAGAGAGAGAGAGAGAGAGGGGGAGTGAAGGTATGTGTAAAAAAATTCCAGCGGGCAGCAATGGCACAGTTGCCGGCCGGCTGCCAAATACAGGCTTAAATCTTATAGCTCTGATACCAAGTTAAAATACAATGTATAAAATTGATTGTATTATTGATTCATATATGTTGTTGTATATTACAAATGGTGAGTGGCTCATTATATAGGAGAGGGTGAGTGTAGTAGGTGAGGAGTAGGTGAGGAGTAGGTGGTGGTAGGTGATGGTAAATTGGTGGTAGGTGATGGTCAATTCTAACAATATGCATATCCATTATCGGGTAACAAAGGATTTGTGCTGATTGATTTTGGCTCTATTTGGAATGGGTTGGGTTTTCCCAAGAGATACGGCTGGTGTCATGCATGGATGGCGGGGTAGCAGGATTGGTAAGTGATGGCGGAAAACTTGGTTGCTAAATCTTTTGGGCCTGATGTGGCTTATATGGGCCCAATGTAGTAGGACTTTCCAAGGAGTAGAGAAGTTACGGTATAGTCTGAAGAGTTCCTTTTTGACTGTAGTATAGTTGGACTTGAAGGAGGGTTTTTCCTAATCTTGACCAAACTTTAGATTTTGTTGATTCTGTTAACTTGTAAGAATCATAGACATATATATATATATATATATATTCTTTTTTTGAGTGTATAGGCCTTTTTGTTGAAAGGTTGTCTTAGATTAACTTACTTTTGTACATGGTGGCATCCGGCTTGATGCTCTATCATATAATATACTCTTACTTATCGGAAAAAATGGAGTTATAAATGGATTGTAGAAACATTTGATTCAATTTTCATTTTCTATTTGCAGGTTCTATGCTATCTGGCACCTCTCTTCCCAAAAAATATCAACTTGTTTTGGCAAGATGAGGTATAGAATTATGTATTCGCTATTTAGTTTGAAGTATGAAGTATTATAGGCTTTTCTTTTGTGTTTAAATGTTAGTCTTGTTATGGGAACAAAGCTTTTATGATGGTGAGTGAAATATCTAGAGATATTTGACATTATAGGTACAATTGTTCAATTTATGCAGCAAACTTTTATGATAATGTGAATGTCAAATGCTAAACCCCAGCAAACATGACAAATTTTAAGTTTAACTATTATGATATGATATGACCAATTGCAAAGTAAAAGAGTTCATCAATAGATGAAGAGAGATGGCTAATGGATCACATTGAGGGGACCAGACTTCTAAGTGCCATAGACAAATAACTTTTATGGCTTGAATGGCCACCAAGTCTTTTCAAGAAGTAGTATACAAGAAGCTAATACGTGAAACAAGATAAGAACATAAGCCAAGAAATTGGTGCTATGAACAACAGACTCCTTTGATTGATCTACTTCCTCATTTGGCTTTTCTCTAAATAAAGAGAATTCATCATTTTGTTTGTGTTATTTCATGAATATATGGCAAGGAAGCATAGGTGTGGGTATGCATACGTTACGGGTAGGCCAATATGGCAAAACTTAAAAAGAAATAGGATATAGTTATGGTCAAGGTACAACCATATTTTTTTTTTGGTAATTTGTAGTTCATGGTATATAATAATTAGAAAATCAAATGCAAAAAATAACTAAAATAACAATTAGAAAACAGTGAACAATAGACAAAGAGGGTAAAAAAAACAGAAATGAAGACGGCTACTCCAAGAGAGTGAGGAGAGGGGGAGAGTCCAGTGAAGAGGAAGCCTAAAAAGGACCCAAAGTATTTTTTAAAATTTTGATCATCGAAAATATACACTATTTTTTAAGTTTCTTAAGATAGGCACAATATAATTGTTCCAGTTCCCATATATTTTTTAAGAGTTACATATACACCCCGATGTACCCACAAAAGTACCCAAAGCCGTACACAATATTCAAAAAGTACCATATACGTATTTTGCATACCAGTACCCAGTACTTGTACGGAAATATTTCCAGTGTACCCATGCTTCCTAGATCTATGGCATTATCATGATAGTCTTTCAATATTTGGAGAAGGCTTCAGTGTACAGATTGTACAAATAGGCCTCAGTAGCTTCTGTTTTGCAATACCATGTTAACTACTTGAAAATATCATCACTGATATTGCAGACTGCTTTACACTTTATGTAAATAAATGCAAATTTGCTATCAATAGATGAAGCTCATCAGGAAAAAAATGAAGGAAAAAAAAAAAAGACCCTAGAAAAAGATTCTGCTATGGATTCTAACTTGCTGCCTTGTTTTGTAAGCTCTAGATTCCAAAAATGAAAGCCTATGTGAGTGACACGGAAGACCTAAAGCAGGATCCTTCATATCAAGAAACTTGGGATGACATGATAATCAATGTAAGTTTGTTAACCCTTCACAAATTTGATGAGTAAATTTTGATGCCTGTTGGTCTCTTTATCAGTATTGCCAGCATACATTGTAGAAAATCATTACATGGAATCAAATAATGATGTTCATAAGTGGGATAATCTCTCTGGCATTTGACTTTTTAAAACATGAAAACTCAAATGCTCACTTGAGATGTTACAATAAGTAAATAAAAATAACCATTTCACGTGCCACGTGAAAAGCGGAACATAAAAAAGGAATGAATTTGCTGGCCATCCTTAGTACCACATAGCACTAATACATCTTTGTTTCTTGGTGGCAGTTTCTTGCAGAATCTTTGGATGTGATTCAAGATAATGATTGGGTGATTTCTTTGGGAAATGCTTTTTCCAAACAATATGAACTTTATAAGCCTGATGACGAGCATACTGGGCTACTTCACCGGTATTAGTGCATTGAATTCCTTCTGCTTGCTTAATTTCTCTTTGAATTTTATAATCAATAAATAAATAAATAAAAAAAGAAAGCTTTTTCCCATTGAATATATGTTTTGGAGTTCGATGTTTTGTCTGTAATGAATGTAGGATGTGATTTGTTATTGAAGCTTTGTTGTTGGTCTGTTTAGTGACTTTGTCTCACAGTATTACTGTTTTGAACGTTTGCCTGGGGTGTGCCCCTTGTATTGTGTATGTATTTTCCCTCTCTTCTATATAGAACCAACCTCACTGAGAAAAAAAAAAAAAAAGGAACATGCCAAGCAGTAAGATAGCTAGTTCTCTATGTCCGAAATTGCTGTTTGCTGTCAAACACGAAGACCACTCATTTCTCAATCTCAAATAAAACAAACTGTTCCTCTAAGGCAGCCCTCCAGAACATATTCTAAGTCTTCGATCAGCTGAAATTAATAACTCATGGAACATCAGTTGATAATGTTTAAGGAAAATTTGTTGGTCTAATTAAAATGTTTTAGAAGGCAAATGTAGTTGGCCTCCTGAAGTCTACCTGCACTCGTAATTTCAGAAATTGAAATATTAAAGGAATTGCTGAAATGTTGTGAAATGACAGAAGGTATTCGAACTATTTTGAGCCTCTTAAAAGTTGATGGACTGGTTAAATTCAAAATTTATTTTTTCTTTTTCAGGAGTCTTGGCATGCTTCTTCAGAAGGTTGATGACAGGTCGTATGTTCGTAACAAGATTGATTGGATGTATGAACAAGCTAATATTGCATTCCCGAGTAATAGGCTTGGTTTCGCAAAAGCCATGGGATTGGTATCTATACTTTAAAGCTTTGTTCTTGTTCTTCTATTTTTAACCATGTCTAAAGCTAATTGTTATCTATTACTTCCAGGTTGCAGCATCCCAATTGGATACTGTTTTGGACAAACTGAAAGACATTCTTGATAATGTTGGGCAAAGTGTCTTTCAGAGGTATATGCCAGGACAATTGGATAACTTTTACTCTCTATGTTTACACGTGTGTGTCTGTGTGTTCATGTGTGTGCATGCGGGTGCACACAAGTGTATATAAATACTTAAAGTATGCAAAAGGATGGTGGAGTCTCTTTAGAATACATTGATAAACACCATAATACTCATACAGATTGCAGATGAAAAAGTTGCATTCAAGATAGAGAATTCTAAGTGTAGAAGCAAGTTACTTTTAAACTAATTCATTAAAACTTATTAGTAATTGTTCTTGAACAATAACAATTAATGACTAATCACTATTAACTTATTGTTCTTGAACAATTTGTTGTCTCATTGAAGACAATATTTTCTTCTCTACCTTAATTCTCTCTCTCTCTCTCTCTCTCTATATATATATATATATGTATGTATTTGTCTCTCTTTCTCTTTAATCTTTGCACTCTAATTATCTATCTGTTAAGCTTTTACATGCATATTTTAAGTCTTTCTCTGATCATTGTGGTGCTCTGTTGGCTGCAGATTTCTGTCTTTTTTCTCTGATAAAGCTAGGATGGATGATTCTGATGATATACATGCTGCTTTGGCCCTAATGTACGGGTATGCAGCAAGATATGCTCCATCAACTGTTATTGAAGCTAGAATAGATGCTCTTGTGGTATGATACCATTTTCTTTATGCTTCTTTCCATTTCCCAGTGTATAATAAGCCTACATCTCTATTTGAATCTAGAAATTTTCTTTATGCTTCTAGTATTGGATGTGTTGATGATGTTAATATCAATTCATTGTATGTGATAATTTGCATGACAATTTCTGGATTATGCTCCTTGCTTATTGCTCTTGCTTACAGGGTACAAATATGCTTTCACGGCTTCTTCATGTGCGCCATCCTACAGCAAAGCAGGCTGTTATTACTGCGATTGATTTGCTAGGTTTGTGAAGTTCCTCAAGTGTATTATTTTGGTTTCATGTTTTCTGTGCTCTATTTTCACTCTTATTTTGTGATATTATAATCTGGATTTGTTTGTGCTTTTCACATCTCTATCTTTGACAATCCTTGGTGAATTTGTATATGTGAATATTCTACAGTTATTGAATTACTAAAGTTTGCAATTACCTCTTTTTTAGAGTCATTAAATGATAAGGATAACATGATGTTAAAAAATACTGTATTATTGATTGATATCTTGATGTTGTTTGATATTCTGTCTATTACAAATGGTTCCTTATATAGATGTAGGTGTAGGGTATTCTTTAGTAAAAGGTAGTTTGGTTCGCAAAAAAGTGACTTTATATCTCTGTTTACTTCGGATTCTCGATTTTGCTTAAAGATCAAAATACCCGTGGTCTGTAGCTGTAGCTACAAAAGTTGAGAGTTGAAAGAGAGAGAAGAGGGAGCTCTGTGTTTTTTTTTTTTTTTTTTTTTTTTTTTTTTTTTTTTGATTGCTCAGAAGAAGAGATGGAGAAGTTGAGTGATGAAGAACCAAGATCTCTGGAACAGAATCTCAAGGCTCTTGACGAGTTGGTGTCGGCCATCCGAGAATGGACCCCCATGGCCGGAGATAAACCCGTCGCCACCTGTCTCCATCGTGCCGACGATTTGCTCCAGCAATCGATGTTCCGGCTGGACGACGAGTTCAGGCTGGAAGACGAGGCCAGAGACGGTGAGGAGGATGCCGGGACGGCCAGTGAGGAAGCCGTAGGCAGAGGCGGCGTAACCGGCGGACTGCTCGTTGTGGAAGGCGATGAATCAAACGCCGAGAGCATTGTTGTGTTGGTTTTGGAGAACAGATCTTTTGATCACATGATTGGTTGGATGAAGAACTCTATCAACCCATCAATCAATGGTGTCACAGGTAAAGACTGCAACCCAGTTTCAACCAAAGACCAAGACCAACCTCAAACTCAATCCATCTGTTTCAAAGATGATGCTGAGTTTGTGGATCCGGATCCGGGTCACTCATTTGAAGCTGTTGAACAACAGGTATTTGGGTCTGGTCCCATCCCTTCAATGACTACACTTCAGAAAAGAGATTCTCAAATTTTATTTTTGGGGGACTTGGAAATTGTCATAGTTCAGCATACAACTTTTATGATATATTTTTTCTCTCATTTATTTGTTGCTTTTTGTATTTTCACTATGCAAAAGCATGCTTCTTTTCTGTTTCAGAAACCTTTTGTTAAGTATTCTTTTTAACCGTAGTGCACAGAGGAATACTAAGACTTGTGGGCCTTAGTCCCGTTTTGAGTCCGCATAGTTGGTGACCACTTGCACAAGGGAGGTATTTAAAAAAGGCATTTACAATCTTTTTTAAAGTTTCTTCAAGGTTTCTGAGTTTTTAGTTGGGGTCTTTTCCACACAAAAATGCATCTTCTCTTTCTGTTGCTTGGGATTGGGTGCCATTCAATCCTCTCTTTTATACAAGAATACAAATCTGGTTATATAGGTTTTTAAGAGAACATGCTAACTTTACAAACTCAAATTCTTTGTCATAGCTTAAAACAAGTGTTATTTTTCCTTCCACAAAAGCTGCAGCAGGCAGCCATATTGCACGTCTAATGCATGTGCTGTGTATTTTGTCTATTGATATCATACAGTTTTGTCAAAATTTGAGTGTCATGTAATGTGTCAGGTCATACTGCACACCATGTATTTTATCTATTATATAAGATTTGACAATATTTAAGTGTCATATTAGTATGTTTATCTTACATCTGTTGGTACATATTCTACAATATTGATGACTATGGATCTTTTACTTCATTAGTGGTCAATCTTGGGAAGTTGATAGCATTGTTTGTTAATGCAGGTTGTGCTGTCATTAATGCTGCGGAAAGTGGTATAACATTCCCATTGAAAAGAAGGGACCAATTGCTTGATTATACATTAACGTTGATGGGCTGTGATGATGATGAGGGTTTTGCTGATTCTAGCCTTGAACTTCTGCGCACTCAGGTTTGCTTACTTGCTCACATTTATTCTGTATTGAACAGGCAGTTTTGTTTCATATTTCTTCAGTTCTTGGTGGAACTGTTTGACCTTTTTTGCATTCTGAATGTGGATGTTTTGCAGGCCCTTGCATTGAGTGCCTGTACAACTTTGGTTTCTGTAGAGCCCAAACTGACAATTGAAACAAGAAATCATGTTATGAGGGTGCAAGTTTTGTCAATTACTGTGATATTTTTATCACCAATCTTTTCTAGTATTATTTGTTTGCCAGTTGTGTGAATATTTTCTTTTAAAATTGGCAGGCGACCTTGGGATTTTTTGCTTTGCCAATTGATCCAGCAGATGTTGTCAATCCCCTTATAGACAATCTCATCACACTCTTATGTGCTATTCTTCTCACGAGGTATTTTCCTTGTTGTAAATTTCATTTTTGCAAGTCTCTTTGTATTGATTTTGCTCTTGAAACATCAAGGCATCCTTTGGTCATGTTCCGACTTTGTCCTTTTGGATTGAATTCTGTCAGCGAATATTGTTGGTGTTCAATGATATAGTTGAGTACACCAATTTTCTTTATGAAAGTCATTAAATTTCGTTTTCTGTTTTAGTGAATGATTATGCCTTTGTAAACTATGGGAAACAATTTTTAAAGTCTTCCTAAAATAAGACATAGCCTTCATGGGGGGCCCACAACTAATGTGCTAGGTCATGACCATGAAAAACAAACATTTTTGGTCTGTGCAAAATTAAACCAAACCAAATCAAATCAAACCAAACCAAACCGTAAGTCCCATCAAATGGGGTCGGCCACATGGATCTTTCTTCTCCACTCAACTCTATTCAAGTCCATTTCGTTAGTCAAATTTAGGAGATTCATATTTTTATTTACTATACTAGTCCACGTTAATTTTGATCTATCCCTTCCTCTAACACTACCATCTACCGTCACTATATCGCGTCTCTTCACTACTGCCTCTGTTAATGTCCATTGTATATGACCAAGTCATCTCAATCTATTCTCTCGCAACTTATCTTTTATCAGTACCACTCCTACCCATTCTCGAATATACTCATTCTTAATTCTGTTTTTTTTTTCCTCTTGCCACATATCCACCTTAACATCCTCATCTCAGTAACACTTATCTTATTTACATGTTGTTTTTTAGTTGCCCAACATTCTATCCCATACAACATCGCTGGTCGAATAGCTATTCTATATAACTTCCCTTTTAGTCTAATGGGTACTTGTTTATTGCACAATACTCTAGACACACTCCTCTACTTAAGTCAACCCGCCTTAATTCTATGGACCGCATATGCTCCAATTTTCCCAGTCATTATGATAATCGATCATAAATAACGAAAATGTTCACTTTTAGGTAGTTCTTGATTCTCAGTTCTCAGTCTACACTTCTCTTCTACTTCCATTGTGACTATTACTAAAATTACACTCCATATATTCTGTCTTAGTTTTGCTTATTCTAAACTTTTTACATTCAAGTGCTCTTCTCCAAATCTCCAACTTAGTGTTAGCTCATTCTCTAATCTTGTCCACTAACACGATATCATCTGCAAAAAGTATACACCATGGCACATCATCCTGAATATTGCACGTCAACTCATCCATAACTAAAGCGAAAAGATAAGAACTTAAGGTTGATCCTTGGTGTAACCCTACAATAATTGAAAATTCACTCGTCTCTCTAGCAGGTGATCTAATAGTGGTCACCACACTCAATTGTTTAAGTCTTATTTCTCAGTAGCTTCATTATAACACACCTTCACATCTTAATGCTTTTGTTAACTTTTTTGGATGTAGCCCGTTAACAATCTTTGAAACTTTGTTCTGGAAATAGTTATCAAGGTTTGGTGGGATGGAGGTAGGTTATGCGGAAAGGGTGTTGGTTGATGAAGAGTGCTCAGACAGCAATTTGTTTGATGTTAGACATCTAATGTGATGGGTCAGACTCGAAGGGGATGAAATATCTTAAAAGTCTCATTCTGCACTGGAAGTCCATATCTGTTTGCATCTGTGTATATATGATTCTTTATACATATAGATCATGTAATAGGATTCTTGTGTAAATCATCTAACTAGTAATCTGTGTCATCATCAGTGGTGAGGATGGAAGAAGCCGAGCAGAGCAGCTTTTGCATATTCTTAGACAGATTGATCAATATGTTTCGTCGCCTGTGGAGTGTCACAGAATAAGAGGATGTCGTGCAGTGCATGAGATGCTTCTAAAGTTTCGGACCCTTTGTTCCAGTGGATATTGTACACTTGGCTGCCATGGAAGTTGCACACACAGCAAGCAATTCGACCACGCTTTGAATCGCAATTTTTCCAACTTACCATGTAATTGTGTTTTCCCAAAAAACTTTGTATCTTTTGTGGTTAGCTGTTTACTAATTGTCTGCAGTGTCTTTTGATGCCAGCCGTATATGTATTGCCAAGTCGTGATGCCTTGTGTGTCGGGGATAGGCTCATAGTTTATCTTCCAAGATGTGCAGATACAAATTCTGAAGTTAGAAAACTTTCGGCTCAGGTCAGTAGTCTTTATTTGTGGTTTTGGTGAAGTTTCCCTTGAATGAAATTGTTTATCATCATTTCGTGGATAAATTGTATGCTTTTATTATAGTTTCTGCTAACTTGTGGCACCTATTGCATAACAATATCTATTATTTTTATTTATCTCCCTTTGCAGATTCTTGATCTATTCTTCAGCATATCTCTTTCATTACCAAGGCCTGTATCATCTAGTTCTGGAGTAAATATAGAATTGTCGTATAATGCTTTGTCCTCCCTTGAGGATGTTATTGCTATCTTGAGGCGGGTAAGTGCATCCGAAATTTTCTTTTATTCAATTATTTTTTTCTGTGGCTTTTATTTGGAGCAATGGAAGGGAAATTGAGGATACCGTGTTTTCCTATTCTGAGTTTGTATGTGTCTTCAGGATGCTTCTATAGATCCATCAGAGGTTTTCAACAGGGTTGTTTCCTCTGTTTGTATTTTATTGACGAAGGATGAGGTTAGGTTTATTTTATTACATATATATATAATGCAACACATATATTTTCCTTCATTTGCATGACTGAATTTACAATTCACACTGCAATAGCCTCATGATATTTTCAGTTTCAAATTGCAGCTTGTAACTACACTGCATGGTTGCTCAGTAGCTATATGTGACAAGGTCAAGCAGTCAGCAGAAGGTGCTATCCAAGCAGTCATTGAGTTTTTTACCAAACGGGGGAATGAGCTAAAAGAAACTGATATATCAAGGTTATGTTCTTTTCGCTTTTCATTTTCCGCTTATTGTTTTGTTGTTTTGCATGGGTTGTGAGTACGTTAAACATTGGAGTCAGTAAAAGTTTTTGAATCATATATTTTTATAGTCAGTAAATAGATATTGTAATTTTCATAGATAGTTAATACATGTTATATGACAACAGGACAACTCAATCTTTGATCTCTGCTACAGTCCATGTAACTGAGAAATATTTACGTCAGGAAACACTTGGTGCTGTATCCTTTTTAATCTAAATCTAATCTGCCTTTTTAAAAATGTTCCTTTTTGTTGTTGTTGTTGTTTAATGATTCTGTTCTCTGCACAAACCGTTGTCTATATCTGCAAGTATTTTCTTAACTATCATAAGATTTGTTCCCTGGCCGAGAACACTAGTTCGAAAATTGTCTTCAATGAAGTATTGGCTGCAGCGGGAAGGGATATAGTTTCAAAGGATATATCTAGACTACATGGTGGATGGCCAATGCAGGATGCATTCTATGTGAGTCCCAAGTGATGTTGTGAGACATATATTGAATCATCATTTTATATGCTTAAAAGTTGTATTTCTTTTTTCTTTTGTTATGTTGTTGGTGCGAAAGAGAGCATATTTTTGTTCAATATGGCAGTGTTGTTGATGTTAGATCACCAATTATTCCCAAAGCTTAAGTTGTTAGGAAACATGCCTAACAATGCATATCAAGCTATTAAACACACCCTCCTCAAGTGCAAACTCGTCTTGTATGTGGAGATGCAAGCATCCATACATAGAGTGAAGAGAGAATGTAAATGATAGAAGAAAGAATGCAAACGGGGACCATATGCTAACGGAGAGAATTGAACCCAAAACCTCTTTCAACCTAAGCTTTGATATCATGTTAGATCACCAAAAGCTTAAGCTTAAGCTTTGTTCAGAATCTGAAGACATGTCAGAAGCTTGACTTTCTGTTGATTTCTTAAAAAGCTTTCTAATCACTTATTGAATATAACGTGCTTAAAGTTTTAACAACGATAGTGTATCAACCTTGATGCTGGGGGTTCCAGTTCTCTCGTCATCTTGCCTAGACTAACATGATCATATATATATATGTGCTTTGTTAATACTCTTGAACCCGTATAGAAGTGGGACAATGATTTCTTCCTATCATTAGTGAAATGTTCTCGGCAAAGCAGGGTGGTGGCCCTCGCTGGAGAATTCTGTTCGTAGGGGGTCATTCTTTTGAACCCGAAGAGATTGAGAAGGATTGAATTGGGTGGCGCCGATTGTCCATTGTGGAATGCGGGCAAGGTCTTCGGAGGGCACTCATCCTAGTGGGTTTTGAAGTGGTTTGGTTTGTCGCGAGGCTCCAAAAGGCGTCACGAGATGTCGGCCGATTGGCCTATCTAGGAAGACTTATTGGGGGATGTAGGACAGTGGTAGTCTGGGTCTAAGGGAAGGAGAATTGTGGTTCGTCAGTGCAAATTGTGGCCACGACAGGGAGCAAGCGGGAGCAGATTTCATCCCAGATTCCAGTTTTGGGGATGGTTGGAAGGGGCTTGCCTTGGTTATTGAAGGTTTTGCCTTTGGGGATAGGTGAGCTAAGGCTAAAAGGGTGTTGAAGCATGCGGTGGTACCAGAGAAAGTGCCCCTTGCGCGGCTGGTCGACTCTCAGTCCAATGAGCATAATGACGTGGTGGTCACAGGTGCCGGAGAAGGGGTTTGGCTTTGGCTACTTGATAGGACCTTGTTGGGCAAGGTGGGTGAGGAAGTTAAAAAGGGGTTAGGGATTTTTGCTGTTACTGACTAGGTGCATCACTGGTGGAGAGCATCGGGAAAGGTGGAGGTGTCGAGTGTTGGAGGCCAATACTTCTTGTTCGTTTTCCCCTCGAGGCGGGCCACAGCGTCGGTGTTGCAACGGAAGTGGACTTTTGATGGGCGTGATCTTGTCTTGGACTGGTGGTCACTTACTGCTTGCTGCTTCCAACGTAAGTCGCCGATGTTGGCAAATGGTCATTGGATTCAAGTCTTGGGCTTAACAATTCATCTTCATGGTGTACCAACGTAACAAGCCATTGGGAACAGGTGTGGCGGCTTTTTGGCAGTGGATGAGACAATGGATCTCCTGGGTTGTGTTCGTTTGAAGGTTCGAGGGTTATTAGAATGGCTTCCGACATGAATTTCAGTCCGGTGGGGCTCTTGGCGATTTTCTTTGCCTGTCTGGTCAGAGATAGGGCTGGAGGTGGAATTTGCTTCTCGGACAACGGCACCGTGGTGTGGGAGTGCGATTGAAAAGGAAGGGGTAGATTTGGCGCAATATGATTGATGAATCTGGTGGAGATCTGGGGATCGTCCAACTGTATCAAGATTTGGGGGCACAAAATGGGGAAATCCACGTGCGGCGCATCAGGGACGACGCACAACATTTGTAATAAAGCCCTAAGCCAGTCGGACTATGGGCTTGGGCCCATCGGAATATAATGTTATGGCCCAAGCTGAGTTTTCCAAGAGGCCAGTGGGGGAGGGGGCCCAGTTGGGCCTAACTTTGATCAAGGCCAAGAATCATTCAGAGGCTGGGCTTCATGGGTCCACTAGGGCAGTTTCTAATCTAACGGGTCAGGCGTTGGACCCTCCATTGCGACGGGTCTTCGAAGCTTTGCATCACGATATAGGTTTGGATTTGTCAATGGCGGATCAGCCTGCCTGTGTGTCAGAGACGATGGGTCGTCGGATGCCGATGACTTCGATAGGTGACGAATCGATGGCAAAGGCAGCTGGGCCATCGAAATTGCAGTTAGATGGGTCGGTGCCAAGGCCTGGGTCTGGATTGTCAGAGAAATCGGGACGTTTGACCACAGTTTCAGGGGTTGCGCATTAGATAGAGAAGGTGGTGCTGACTTCGGGTTTTCAGCTAGTGGTGCGCCATGAGGTGAATAAGGATGCGCCGGAATTTGGGTATCCTCTGGAGGCCGATGGATGCAACTTTCGGTCTAACTTTTCATCCTTCGGAGAGGAGGCTATGACATCTTGCTGGGAGCCGCGTAGTGGGTTGTCGTGGGCTGATCGGGTTTTTTTTTATACTGAGGAAGGCCTGAATCAGGTGGTGCTGATGGTGGTACAGCCACTAAGTGTGGAGGTTGGTGCACAGGGGGTCTTTTACGGTCTGAATCTGAACCTGTCTCACAGTGGTGCAAAGCTGGAGAGAAATGGGGTACCTTCGGCTGAGGCCGTTTCGGAGTAGGTGTTGGAACAAATCAGTGAGGTTAGCCGGTTATTGGGCTTGTCTTTCGAAGGACGTGAAGAGGAAGCACTATGTTTATTCTCAACGGTGGAGGAATCATGGCGGAAAGGGACTCCTAGTAAGGAGGGGGTTAAATTAGCGGGAACCAGTCGGAAAGGGAACCAGGAGCTTAAGAATCTTGCATGTTCTATTAATTATGACCATGGAGGGTCAAAGGTGGGTAATGACTCTCGGAGACCTGGTGGGGGACCATTTACGTGGAAATGAGATTAAAAATTCTTTCTTGGAATGTGCGGGTATTTGAATGATAGGGACAAAAGGTTGGCAGTAAAAGCAGCTCTGTGTAGTGCACAAGCTGATGTGGTGTGTTTACAGGAGACAAAGATGGATGTGTTAGGGGCTGTGTTACATGGACTCTTCTATTTCCCCCACAGTACCCGTGTCCACCGGATATGACATGGATAAGGGTCTGGGATATGTGTCCGACGCTCATACCCAATTTAGACACTCAGATACTTTAATTTGTGACAATACATGAAGAAAAAGAAACTCACATTTGTTAGTAAAGCAATATTTTCAGGCTCCCACATGAATTAGATATAGAAATTTTATATTTTTTTCTAAATCATATTTAATTTCTAATATATTTCTACATAATTTAAATCATCTCATTCGAGAATATTATATAATATGCAATATATATGTGCATATGACGTGTCCCCGTACCCATATCCAATTTTGGATACGTACCCCAAGATCCTAAGATTTAAATTTATGAATGTCTGACGCTTGGATACACACCCGCACCCGACATTCGTACCCGAGTCCATGTAACATAGGTTAGGGGAGGCGGTGGTACGCAATATTTGGGGAGGACGGTTTGTGGAATGGTTCCATTTGCCAGCTGTCGGTACTGCAGGAGGGATACTTTTCTGTTGGGATTCCAGGGTCATTATGAAAGAGGCGGAGGAGGTGGGTTGTTTCTCTTTGTCTTGTTTGTTTCGGTGTGTAAAGGATCAGTTTCAGTGGGTGTTTACTGGGGTGTATGGTCCGGTGCGGAATGTAGACCGAGGCGAGTTCATGGGGGGTGATTTTAATATGGTGCGGTGGCTGGTTAAAAGGGTGGGGAGCAATAGGGGGTTACGGTGGATGTGGTCTTTCTGTTCCTTTGTTGATGAGATGCAGTTGATTGATTTGCCTCTTTGAGGAGGGAGTTTCACTTTGGTTGAATGGGCAGAGTCTGTCACGGATTGATCGATTTCTCATTTCTAGAGGTTGGGAGGAGCATTTTTCAGATGTTACTCAGATTTGCCTCCCTCGTCCAGTGTCGGATCATTGGCCCGTTTTACTTGATAGTGGTGAGGTTCGAAGGGGCCTTACTCCTTTCCGTTTTGAGAATATGTGGCTACATTCAGATGGTTTCTTGGAAAGGGTCCGAGAATGGTGGACTAGTTATGTGGTTATAGGCTCACCTAGTTATATGTTGGCTTAGAAATTGAAACTGCTTAAAAGGGATTTGAAAGAATGGAATAAGAAGGTGTTTGGCCGTTTAGAGGGCCAGAAGGCGACGGTGGTGTCTTTACTCCAGTTCTTGGATGAGATAGAGGTTAATGGGGGCTTGTCGGCTGATGGCAGTTCTACAAAGGAGATAGCCAGACAGGAGTATGTCTGTATCTCTCATATGGAGAATGTGTGTTTCAAGTAGAAATCCCGGTGTTTGTGGCTCAAGGATAGGGATCGGAATACTAAGTTCTTCCATTGGATAGCGAATGCCCATCGTCGATCAGATTCACAGGTTGCGGGTAGAGGGTCGCGATCTAAATACGACAGTGGAGATTGAGGAGGAGATTGTGGATTTTTATCAGCATTTGTTTCGGCAGCAAATAGGGAAGTAGCGGCCAGGATGGAAGGGGTTCAGTTTGATATGATTTCGGAGGCGGATAGGGTGGCTTTGGAGTGCCCTGTTACAGAGGAAGAGGTGTTTCGGGCTTTATGGGCGATGTGTGGGGATAAGGCGCCAGGTTCAGATGGCTTTACTATGGCATTTTTTCAGCATTGTTGGAGTGTGGTTAAGATGGATGTGATGGCCACTTTGGAGGCTTTCTTTGTGTCGGGCCAGTTTGAAAAAAGTCTTAATGCGACTTTCTTGGCTTTGATTCCTAAGAAGGGGGGGGGGGTAAGGGGCAGAGGATATTTGGGATTTTAGGCCTATTAGTTTGCTTGGAAGTGTGTATAAGCTTTTAGCTAAAGTCTTGGCAAATAGGCTTCGAAGGGTTTTGCAGGCAGTGGTATCAGGGTCCCAAAATGCTTTTGTGGGGGCTCGCCAGATTCTAGATGCAATGTTGGTGGCAAATGAGTGTGTGGATTCCCGAATTCGACAGGGCTAACCAGGTTTGATTTGTAAATTGGACATTGAGAAGGTGTATGATAATATTCGGTGGGAGTTTCTTCTGTATGCTTTGAAGTGTATGGGTTTTGGAGAGACTTAGCGGAAGTGGATTCAGTTGCATTTCTACTGTGCGGATGTCTGTTCTGGTCAATGGGACACCGGCTGGTTTTTTCCCAACCTACAGAGTCCTTCGTCAAGGGGTTCCTCCGTCTCCATTATTGTTCTTGAGGGTTTATTGGAGGGCTTTTTAGTAGGTCCTCTCACAGGGGCGCCTATTTGTGTTTTTTCATTTGCTGTATGCTGATGATGCTTGATTTTTTGTGGGGCCGTGGCAAAGCAGGTGGGTTATTTGCAATGTGTCTTGTTGTGTTTTGAGGCAGTTTCGGACCTTTGGGTGAATCTCAGGAAGTCGGAAATGATTCCGGTGGGGAAGCTGGAAAATTTGCCAGTGTTGGGTTGTAAGGAGTCAGCTTTGCCGGCTACTTATTTGGGCTTGCCGTTGGGGGCAATGTTTAAAGCTCAACGGGTGTGGGAAGGAGGGGTGAAGCGTATTCAGCGTCGGTTGGCAGGTTGGAAGAGGCAATATCTGGCGAAAGAGGGTAGGTTGACTTTGATCAAGAGTGTGTTGAGTAGCATTCCGACGTATTTTATGTCTTTGCATGTCATTTCGGTATCGGTGGCTCAACAGTTGGAGCGGCTTCAGCGAGATTTTCTGTGGGATGGTGGAGGGGATGATTTTCGTTATCATTTGGTGGATTGGGGGCAGATTTGTCAACCAGAAGAGGAAGGGGGTCCGGCGATTGGTGACTTTCAACAAAGCTCTGTTAGGTAAGTGGCTATGGCGCTTTGCTTTGGAGCCAGAGAGGGTATGGAGACGGGTGGTGGTTAGCAAGTATGGATTGGCTAGGGGGAAATGGGGGATTGGAGGGCAGGGGCTGTGGTTGGTTCTTATGGGTGTGGCTTATGGAAAGATATTGAGTTGGGGCGAGGGTGGAGTTTAGGGTGGGCAATGGGAGGAGGGTGCGTGTCACGCCTCACTTTTTATTACTCAAAGTATTACCAATTTCATTTACTTAATTCCATTTTAGAGATAACATTCGGAAATAAACTCGTATATTCAACTTGTAGAAGTGAATAACATTGCTCTCATTCGTATGCAAGTAAATACAACATGAGTACACTAAATAAATTGCCCTTGGGCTTACATCATTAAAAGTCAAGAAGAAGGGTATAACCCTTTTTACATAAATGGCATTCCGCCAACACAAAAGAGGCCCCGTGGCCAACAAATAAGAAGATCCAACCTTGTAGAACATCCTGGCTATCACCTGAAAAAAAGATTCAACAACGTGGGATAAATATATAGTCCAGTAGGGATCTCAACATGATCTCCAACAATAACAACTTACAGATAGCTATGATCATGAATGTTCATTCTCATACTAGAATAGTAATGTGGCAGTTTATACAAAATATACCTAAGTATGAACTTTTCTCGAAAACAGCTATTTCATTCGACGCTATAAGCGGTTCAACTTTTTTTCCTTTTTATTACCCATTTTTCCAAACTTTCATGACTATAACAGTTTTAGAAAAAAAACAATTTCACCAAGCCCATTACTCTTCCCCCATTTTCCGTACTTACAACAAAATGACCTTTTTTGAAAACATGTTCACAAATACCCCATTTTCCTTCACACTTTCCAAAATCTCAAAATGGCATTTTGGTTTGTTCCCAATACATTCATATCAATACATGCATGCCTTAAATAAAAGGGAAATAACAAATCATCAACATGTATATAATCCACAAATGAGGCAGCTCGGCCTTTCAAAACTGTAACCATCGCAACCCATAACATACTTAGATACATTGATGATAACAATTAAAACTATGCTCTACCGGCTATATGCACAGTAAGCTAAGGATACGCCAACCGATAAGCGAGATAATAACTCATTTTAAACATTTCATACCTCATAATAGATACACAATACGTTCATTTCAAAATAACTCCAATACCATAATTAATCCTTTAACTGTTAACACCTTCTACATAACTCATATTAACAATAGAAATGTACCAACATTGTTCAACCATAAACCCTTTTTATTTTACCAAATCAAAATATAATTTAGGGCTTTCTCTTCTTTCAATAATAACGTGCTAATTTTATTTCTCTAATTAGTCCAAACCACAGTCAATGATAACAAAACCATTTTGGAAGGATAGGTGGTGTGGCGGTGTTGTTCTAGCAGTTCGTTTTCCACTAATTTATGGAATTACAAGGGATCAGGACGCTGTGGTCGCATCTTATTTGGAGGGTGAGAGTGTGGTGGTTTGGGACATTCATTTGCGGCGGCCTATCCACGACTAGGAGTACGACCCATTGCTGCAGCTTTGGGATTATTTGTATAGGTTGGGTGTAATTGGGATGGGGGCAGATTTTTTGGATGGAATGTGGTGGAGGAGAAGGGGCATTTATCTGTTTCTTCCTTCTACTGATGTTTAACGGGGGAGGTGAGGGCGGATTTCCCTTGGAAGAGTATTTGGGTGCCAGGAGTTCCCTCTATGGTGGCTTTCTTCATGTGAACAGCGGCATTAGGACGGAATCTTACGATTGATAATTTGGTGTAGCATGGTCATTTTCTATTAAATCGGTGTTGCATGTGTTGTGCTGATGTAGAATCTGTTGATCATTTGTTCTTGCACTGTTCTATGGCTAGCCGTTTGTGGAGTCTTATGTGCTCTCCTTTTGGGATTGTTTGGATTCAACCGTAGCGGGTAGTGGATATGCTGTGAAGTTGGCGTGGAGCAAAGGTTGGTCGGCGACAGCAGCGGCAACGGCAGCGGCGGCGTGTGTGGTCTATGCTCTTTATTTGATATGGCTAGTTTGGTTCGAGCGTAATAGGCGAACTTTTCAGGAGGTTCGTCACAGTGTTTCGTGGCTCGAGAGTTGCCTTCTTACAGTTTTGTATAGTTGGTTGGAAGGGAAGTTTGATCCGGATTTGTTTGTCCAGTTAGATTTTTTAGATAATATTATTGGTTAGGAGGCGGTAGGTCCTCTTTGAAGATTTGTATTATTTGCATCTTCTTGATGCTCTTTTAATAAGGCTTATTTATTTATCAAAAAAATAAAAGCTTCCCACTGTCAAATAGAACATTACATGCCACTGAGTTGTGAAAGAGAAGAGGGGAGAAAGAAGAAAAATATAAAAAGTACAGTGATGCAGTCTAACAAGCACGTGACACGACACAGATACACCAACACAGAAATTTTGAAAAAATGTAGGACACGGAAATAATTTTATGTTAATTTTCTTTTATTACAGAAAATAATTTTTACAATGTCTAAAGGACAACATATATAAATTAATGTTAATTTTCTTTTATCATTAGATTCCAAATTATTTTATTCATATTTGTAATGTGTTTCACATGTATCTCAGCGATAGACACGTGTTCCCAAGTATCTTAAACATGTTTGTCTAAATTTTTTTTGAACGTGTGTCTAACATGTGTTGGGAACTGCCTGACGACTGTTGTGTTGTGTCGTGTCGTGTCGGTGTCCAGTATGACATGCCACCTTCTTAGGATGTAGTCATATAGTCTGAAATTTGTTTATTGTAATTCAAAATGCAATATAAATTGTGGAAATAAAATGTGATTTCCATCATATGTGATGTTATGTAAGTCATGTTTGAATTCTGTTGTTCAATTTTTTTTTTTGTTTTTGGTCTTCTTCTATGACCTCTTAGTTAAAATTAATACCATGATTTACTTTTTCGTGATTATTTATACAGGCATTTTCTCAGCATACAGTACTTTCATTCTCGTTCCTGGAGCATGTAATATATGTCCTTAACCAGATGCCTATACTTAAAGGTGATTTGGAGAAAGGAGACAGTTCTAATCATAACACTAATGGTCACATAGACAAAGACATCCTGCAGGCTGCTATTTTTGCTCTCACTGCCTTCTTCAGGTTTGTGTTCAATTGCATTGCTCAGGTTCCAATTTCATTATACAGTCTATTGAATATTGCAATGTGCTATCTTTATTACAGAGGTGGTGGTAAAGTAGGAAAAAAGGCTGTTGAACAAAGTTATTCTTCTGTTTTAGCAGAACTTTTACTCCAGCTGGGAAGCTGTCATGGTTTAGCTAGTTCTGGTCAACAAGAACCATTACGGTACATGCACGGCTTATAATTATTAGATTTGAAAAGTGCATTTTTTTTCTTTTAAAATTCTCTTTGACCTTTTTTCCAATTTTCTTCTTTACAGGGCCCTTCTAATTGCATTTCAAGCATTCTGTGAATGTGTTGGTGATCTTGAAATGGGAAAGGTACACTAAGTTATGTGTAGAAGTTCTACTCATCTTTTGTAATTCCGGGGACTCTTCTTTATACTAAGTGCTGGATAAGAACAAAAGGAAAAATTTATTCACAGATTTTGGCTAGAGACAGAGGGCAAAATGAAAACGAGAAGTGGATCAATCTTATTGGAGATTTAGCCGGGTGTATTTCTATAAAAAGACCAAAAGAGGTAATATGATCCACTTGGGATTCTCTTTCTATAATTCCTTTTGTTTGTGTATTCTCACAAATCAGTATCAATACTTGTACAAATTAGAGGCACACAGAAATGTTGCACTTATCCAATACTATTTGAATTTAAATGCTGGCCTTATGAATAGAAATCATGAAAAAAGTTTATTTAGTGCATACGAAATGTGAATTTTTTGTTTGGTTTCCACATTTCACATTATAATAGAATCAGGATCGGGACCCTGGCTTTGACCCTTCCTGAAAGTTGACAAATTCACTCCACTCCTGGTGTGACCAAAGATTAAGTAATTTCTTGTTTTATTCTTGTTTGCCTTTTTAAAGTTTCAATGTTTAAATTTGATGATGATGTATAAAAATTAGAGGTCGTGACTTGGTGAGATGGCAAGTGTCTTATGTGCTCTCCTTTTGGGATTGTTTGGATTCAACCGTAGGGTTTGAGTCATGTGAACTGACCTCTCCACAAAAAGTGGGTGGAGGGTTGACTACCTACTGCTGTAAGCAGCTTCCTTGTGCAATGGATATGATGGTGTATAGAATATTGGTGGGGATTGTGGTTAATTATAGTGTTTAATTTTTGTAAAAATTTATGTATTTATTGATTGATCTGATACATTGATGTATTACAAGATTCATTAAATTACAATTCCTATACAATCTATATATAGAAGAAAATGTGGTAGTAGGTGTAGTGGAGGTGATAGTGGGTTAGGTGAAGTGGAGTGTGTGGTGAAGTGGAGGTAGGTGAAGTGGAGTGTGTAGTGGAGTGGGTGAAGGTAAAGATGGGAAATTCTAACAATTTTACTTGCTCCAAAATGAAAGAATAAGAAAAAAATAATTTTAACTTTTAGACCCCATGCCACCTCTGTTCATGTTTGGGTGCAAATATGAAACGATATCCATGCTTGTGATTGTTCCATTAATTGATAACCCTTTCTAGTTGTCTGCTTTTTGATTTCATTATAATGCCATTTTAAATTTGTTCTCTTATGGTCGGTTTGTTCAGGTTCCAGCCATATGTTTAATTTTAAGTAAATCCTTAAACCGACCCCAAAGTTTTCAAAGGGAAGCTGCAGCTGCAGCAGTGTCTGAGTTTGTCCGCTACAGGTAATCTGGAGTGATCTGCCATCGTGGATGCTCCTTTTCTGTTTTGTTACATGTGTCCTTTTTCTATTTTCTTTTTAGTTTTGTTTTTGTCTTTGGGTTTTGCAGTGTTTCTTTGAAGCTTGTGTTTTCTTTGAGAGCCTCTAGTACCCGTTCCCCCTCCTCTTTGAGAGTGAAGAGCATATGATCTTTGGATACTCTTAGATCATTAATCTTGGTTTGGTTTATGATTCCATATAGCATTAAAGATCTACTTTTGAAAAATGAAAAAATTGTCTGTCTGTGGTGTAGAAAGAATTGTCTGGAATCTTTTAGTGATGTTAGAGTAGAAGGGGTGATGGTGGGGGTAGGGGCTGATTTGTAATTGATGATTCATATGGAACCATCATGTTCGTGTAACTTTTACAAATTTGATTTAATTTTTTTTTATCTTTCCATGCTTAAACTTTGCTGGTGCATAATCTAGAATAATTAAAATGCTGATGCCCAAAATTATCAATTGTGTTTTTTTATCTGAAGTCAATATATATCTTGAATTGGTTTAGATAATGTTCTGCTTTTCCAATTCTCATTTAATCTGAATTCCATGGTGCAGTGATGGTTTTGGTTCCTTGTTGGAACAGATGGTTGAAGCATTCTGCCGGCATGTATCTGATGATTCTCCTACTGTTAGACGACTATGTCTAAGGGGACTTGTTCAGGTCTTTTATATGTGTGCTTTTACATTTGTTGTATTGATCATAGCTACTTGTTTTCTTTTCTTTTCTTTTTAATTTTCCTTTATTTCGGTGAGTGCATGAACTTTTTAGATTTTGTCTTGCAGATACCATCCATCCATATACTCCGGTACACTCCTGAAGTTCTTGGAGTGATATTAGCTTTGCTTGATGATTCAGATGAATCAGTTCAATTGACTGCTGTGTCATGCTTGCTAATGGTAATTATCCCAACATTTCTAATTTCTTATGCAGTACTGTTTGAGCCAAGCTCATGTTTTTTCATGCACTTAATATGTCCAATTGCACAGGTTCTTGAGTCATCACCCAATGATGCTGTTGAACCCATTTTACTTAACCTTTCAGTCCGGCTTCGGAATCTTCAAGTATGCTCGCTTGCTTCTTTAGTTTATAGTGTTATTTTGTATTTCCATTGCTAGACACAAATGAAATACATCATAAGTTTGAACAAAATAACTTGAGATGTAATAATAAAAGAAAAACAATGTAGATTTATACCTATTAATCCCTCCAACTTTAAATTCTCAGAGTTAGTTTTATGTTGTGTAGAAATTTAATGTATAAAGAGAAATGATTGTATTATTGATTGTTGTATTGATCTGATTTCTATTACAATGATTCATAATTCCTATATATAGAAGAGGGTGAGTGTGTAGTAGGTAAGGAGCAGGTGAAGTCGAGGTGGTAGTGGTGTAGTGGGTTAGGTTTAGTGGAGTAGGTGAGGTGGTAGTGGTGTAGTGGGTTAGGTTTAGTGGAGTAGGTTTAAGTGGGTGAAGTAGGTGATAGGTTTTAACATGTTGCATTATTCATTTATTTATTTATTATCTTTGAATGAAATATTCATAAATTTGGCATATAATAAATATAAACTATAAAATTTGTATCCACCCCACTTGTCGTGTTCTGTATTATTTAAAAATTGTCATGTCGGCATTGTCCATGGTTCTTAGACATTGGTTCCACGGCGTAATTAATGAATCAAGTGCAAATGGACAACTTCACCCTGTCCTTTTTTCTTCCTGTATCTATTTGTCATCTCTATCGTCTTACTTGGTAATACAATACAATCCATTACACCATTATCCCTACATTACGAAGTTCAAATTCAGAACCTTCACTGTGTTCCGTCAAAAAAATAAATAAATTTGTGTTCGTACGTTAATTGGGAGCAATGGCTGACTCAAATATAGTGCATTGAGGGCCCCAATACATGTGAATGTATTCATTATTAGCATCTTTTAGCTTTGGAGATGCATCTAGCTTAATTCCTAGGAATTGGGTCTTTGCTGCGAAAAAGTTTGTGATGAAGTTTGGAATGTACGTTATCCACTTTGCATGTTTTTATTCCTGTCTGGTTTCTAAAATTATCTAAGAGTCTGAAAATATAATATAGGCTACATCTGGCAAAGCAATTAATTTATGTATTGAATGGAAACAGATATGCATGAACACGAAGATACGAGCCAATGCCTATGCAGCATTTGGAGCTCTAAGCAACTATGGAGCAGTTGGGCCGCAACGTGAGGCTTTTCTTGAGCAGGTCTGTTATTTGATTTGGACCACATGATTTGAGATTATTCAATGCATTATTAGTGAAAAGAAATTGATTAATGATTTTGAAATTTGAAATTGTTGATTTATGTGTATTTCTCATGAGTAGAAAACCATGGGTAATCTCATTTTCTAACAAGCTTGGTTTCTAAACTGGGATGCTCTTATTTGCAAACTGTACTAGCATTTTCCTTTCTTCGTTCTATTGCACCATTTTCCCATCTTTATCTAGAAAAATCCCATACATGATTGAACTGGCTGTTGGTTGAAAGAGAGCTACAGGTATAGCCATTGAAAAGGGAAGACTGGTACCTCTTTCATTCTATAAACCAGTATTCTTTTATTCCTTTTTTCTGTCTACAATAAGAATAGAACTTTTGACCCTACTTTCTTTGTGAGATGCTGGACATGCATTGCTGTGCAACACAGGCTTTGACTAAATGATTTCCAATGACCTCAAATTCGTACTTGGATATGGTAACAAGCAGCCATTTGGTATTAATATTCATCTCTCATCTGTGTTTTGTCCAAACTTGACAGTGTCATATCTAGTCATATTTTCAACACGCTATTATATTTCATGTACTTGAGTAGCAAAGATTCTGATTTGCTGGTGTACTGTCTTCTTATTGTTTTCTGACAAGTAGCTGAACAAATTAAACTGTCATGTAGGCAAATCAGTGATTTAATATTCATTTCAATATATATATGTATATCTTACACTTGATAATTTGATGCGACATGGTCATATTCTAGTCAATTGGTGTTGTATGTGAAGATGCGGAAACTATGGATTATTTTTTTTGCATTGTCTTGTGGCTTTTCGTTTGTGGGGATTTATATGTTCTCTTTTTGAGATTGTTTGGGTACAACCGTGGAGGGTGTTGGACATGTTATGGAGTTGGCACGGGGCTCGGGTTGGTCGTCGACGGCTTCGTATGTGGACTTTGGTGCCATTGTGTTTGATGTGGCTAGTGTGGTTGGAGCGCAATAGACGAACATTTCAAGAGGTGTCTCATACTGTGTCTTGGCTTTAGAGTCGTTTACTTACAATTTTGTATAGTTGGTTAGAAAGGAAGGTTGATCCAGATATGTTTGCTTTTTTAGATTTTTTGGATGATGTGATTGGTTTGGAGTTGGTTATTTTCTCATTTGGGGTTTTCTATATTATTTGCATATTCTTGATGTTTTTTAATAAAATTTGTTTATTTATTTATTAAAAAAAATAAATTATATATATATATATATATATGTTTATTTTCTCTCTTTTTTACTAACAAATAACATTCGATGTTCTTTTGTAAACGTACTTTTCAACGTACTTGTGTATAATGAACTCTAATGGTGCTAGGAGTTCTTAGTGGCCCTTCATCAATTAAATCAATCAAACAACTATTTTTGCATTCTAATAACCTCAAAAGCTATTTTGATGTCAATTGCTGGTCTCAGGTACATGCTGCCCTGCCACGCTTGGTTTTGCATCTTCAAGATGATGATCTCAGTGTCCGGCAGGCTTGCCGGGTAAATGATTAGCAGTTAGTCCATTTGCTTTCTACTTGTTGCTTTCTTCAGAGAAATCCTTGACTAACTCATATTTTTATTTTATAGAACACCTTCAAAAAGATTGCCCCAATAATGGAATTGGAAGGACTGTTTACCCTCTCCAACACACATTGTTTTAACTCAGACCACCGGTATGCATTTAACAATACAAAACTGTCATTACTTATCATGTTTGGTTGACCTTTTGGGCTTCCTTATGGCTGAAATTTTCAATGGTAAACCTTTTGTTTGTTTCTAGAAGTGACTATGAAGACTTTGTCAGAGATCTAACAAGGCAGTTAATTCAACATCTAGCTTCCAGGATTGATACTTACATGGCATCAATTATACAGGTTTAGCCTTCTGCTGAAAAGCCCTTATGTCTAATTGCGAGCTTCACTATATTTCATGATTTGCAAATTATGTCCAATGACAGATCAACCTAAATTCACAAATCTTTTTCAGGACTATTTAAAGTAGGCTATTGATTCCTTTTGTAGTTTTCATTTACTTCAATATCATTTCTTCAACCCTGGGGCTTCATCTCTATATTGTAGGCCTCAATCATATTCTTTTCTGGCCTTTTCATTCTTAGTCCTTGTCTTGCAATCAAGGTTTTAAAAAGCGGCCGCAACCGTTACGTAACGCTGTTACGTAACGGTTGTGGTGGTTACCGCCACCCATTACGGCCGCTTTTGCAGTGTGATTGAGATTCACATTTGTGTCAGCCGTAGCGGTTGCCATAGTGGTCGTAACGGGGCTGTAATGGCCTGTTACGCACCGTTACGTAACGGTTCCGAACTACTTCTTTCAAAAAAACACACAAAAACAAAGCTGAAAATGGGGGAAGAGGGATAGAGAGAAAATGGAAGATAAAGAGAGAAGATGGAGGAGCAAAAGAGAGAGAGAGAAGAGGGAAAATGAAGAATATGTTATTGATTTGTTGGAACTGTAAGACTTATGTTATTCTATTCAGCTGCTATCGCTCAATCATTTTGTTTGTGTCTATTTATATTTTGTTTGAAAATAATAATAGTAAGTGTGGTCATTATCTATTTGGTTTCGTTAAAATATGTATATTATATATATATATATATTTAGGCTCTTATTTATTTTCTTACTTTTGTCATTATTTATCTTATATATAATAGTTAGTGGTTAATTTTTTATATAATATAAAGTCATTAATTATTAGAATAAAATGTAAAAAACTCAGTTTATATTGATTTAAAAATATGAAATATATTGGATCATACTTAAAAATTTACAAAAATTGATTAATATTTATTTTAAACCCAATAAATATGATCATGGAAAAAAAATATGCATATCGGTAAGTTTTTTTCAAATTGTGCGAAAAATAAAAAAATTCACGGTTCCGATTACCGCAACTGTTACGCTACGGCCTTTACACCCTGCAACTGCAACCGCGCCACCGCCACCGCCACCGTTACGGCGACCGCAACCGCTTTTTAGAACCTTCCTTGCAATGCGTGGACATGAACAATTTTGACACAATCTGCAACCACGACTTGAACTTGACACAAGTTAGAAATTTGGGTTGTATTCTCAACTTTGTCATGTTCACAGGACAAACTTTCACAATGTCGATAGGGCTTAACAATACAATACTTTGTGGGGTGGGGATGTGGTGGTTTAGGACATTCAGCTACGGCGCCAAGTTCAGGACTGGGAGGTTGGTTAGTTAGGGGAGTTGCTCAGTTTTTTGTATGGGTTGGGGCTTTTGGGTAAGAGGGGAAGATGTGTTGGTTTGGAATGTGGTGGGTGCAAAAGGCCAGTTCTCTATTCAGTCCTTTTATTTGAGTTTGGTGGGGGAGGTGGTAGGGGAATTTCCCTGGAGGAGCATTTGGGTGCCTCGAGTTCCTTCTAAGGTTGTTTTCTTCTCGTGGATGGCTGCTTTAGGGCGGAACCTTACAATTGACAACTTGGTTCGTCGAGGGCATGTGTTAGTGAATTGGTGTTGTATGTGTTGTGTGGATGCGGAGTCGGATGATCATTTATTTCTTCACTGTTCCGTTGCTTCGCGCTTTTGGGGGCTGATTTGTTCTCTTTTTGGGATTAATTGGGTGCCGCCAAAGGGGGGTTTTGGAGATGTTTTGGAGCGGTGTTATCAGAGGCGAGCCTAAGCGCTTGCCTTAGCTCTAAGCGAGGTGAGGCGAGGCGAGGCGAGGCTGTAGCGCTTCAAGCACACTGAGGTGAGGCGAAATGGTGAGGCAATGGAGAAGCGCATGAAGCGAGGCTTAGGTGATGAAGTGAGAGGCGAAACGAAGCGACGCTTCACCAAATTTTTGCCTGATTTCAGTTCGAATTATCTGGGCCCTTCATCTGGATGACTTTTGTGCAATTTACGGGCATGCGTTGCACTTTATAATTGCTTTCTACTAAATAAGAAGTCGAAACCCTAAGTCGACTTCGTTCGTCGACATTGAAGGGCATACCCGAAGTCGACTTCACCTGGGTCTTCTTCTTTCTTCTTTAGACGTCGTTCTAGTCGACTTCACCTGGTGAGTTCCTTCTTCTTCCTTCTTTCTTTCTCTTTTCTTTCTCCTTTCTTTCCTTCGACTTCACCTGCGTCTTCTTTTCTTCGACTTGAAGAACACTGTCGACCCCCCCCCTCTTTCTTCCCCTCTGTTCTTCCTTTGTTCATTTTTTCCTTTGAATTGAAGAACACTATCAGAACACTGTCGCCCCCCCCCCCTTTTTTCCTGGTTATTTTAATTCAATTAATTATTTTTCTATGTTGTTTTTTTCCATCATAATTTTTTTTCAATTAATTCAATTAATTTCCTGTGTTAAAATTAATTCAATTATATTTTAAAATTAATTTTTTTTTCAATTAATTCAATTATTTTTTTTCTGTGTTAAAATTTCAATTAATTCAATTAATTTCCCTGTTATTTTAATTCAATTAATTTGTTTAATTTCAATTATTTTGCTGAAATTTTAATTATTTTGCTGAAAAAATTTCAATTAATTTTGCTGAAATTTTAAATATTTTGCTGAAAAAATTTCAATTAATTTTGCTGAAAAATTTCAATTATTTTGCTGCTAAAAATATGTTCTTTAATTTCTTTATGCTGAAATATTTATATTTTTGTCTATACCATTTATTTTAAATAAATATCCTTTCTGGTCGCCTCAAATCGATGAAGCCCTCTCCTCGCCTTATCGCCTCACGCTTAGGCATTAGGAGACCTTGTCGTCTCGGTTCGCTTTTTGCCTTTAAAAACACCATTTTGGAGTTTGAGAGGGGCTCGGGTTGGGTGGCGTAAGTGATGGGTGTGGTCGTTGGTGTCGTTTTGTTTGATGTGGTTGGTTTGGTTAGAGAGGAATATACGAAACTTTCAAGAGATTTATCGTTCTGTTTCATGGCTAGAGAATCGGCTTTTAGTTACCATGTATAGTTGGTTGGAGAGTACAGTTGATCCGGATTTGTTTGCTTTTTTAGATTTTTTGAACGATGTAATTGGTTAGGCGTGTTTGTATTCTTTTCTAGTTTCTTTGCATTCTTTGTATCATCTTGATGCTTTTTCAATAAAGTGCTATTATTTACTTTAAAAAAAAAAAAATGAACCTTAGACTGGTTATATTCCTGTTAGTGCAGGCATATGATGCTCCTTGGACGGTTATTCAAGCGAATGCCATTTACTTCTCAAGCTGCATGATTTGTCTCTCAGATGATCAACGCATCTCAGCTCTATATTTTTCTCAGGTCATTCTCAAATGCATTTGCTGTCACTGATAATTGATGACTAGACATGATTTGCCTCGTACTTGTTCTGCCCTAAATTATAGATAAAGTGAACTCATTAGAATATATAATCTTGTCTTCCTTAGATGTTTATTTTGTTGGTGGGCAAAATGAGTCGGTCTGCTGATGCAATCGTTAGAGCAACTTGCTCCTCAGCACTAGGCTTGCTCCTCAAATCCACCCTTTCACTCTCATGGAGAACTGCTCGGCTTGACTGAGTGGACTCGATTAGGAGGTGCCATGATGCAGAATCTAATAAGTAGTGATTTTTGAACTCAAGGATGAAAATGCCATTTCACTGGAAGGTTTGGGCAATGACTCTCCGTGATGAAATGTATAGCAAGAGCTTGATCTGGTTGCGTTGTTATGTGAAAGGGAAAATAAACTCCTTAAATTACAAGATATGAAGCGAGTCGACAGAGTAAAATGGGTTGGGAAGCTCTGTAACTGTGTTGTTTGTATAATGTACAGTTGCCGATGAATATCACTATATAGTGGATTGGGGCTGTAGTCATTTGTATATTAGTTAGAGTTAATTGTTGAGGCTTGCTTTGTAAATTTATGTCTTATGTCATTTGTAGTTTTACATAAAAGACCTCGTACGGAATTTGTGGTGGTGTATGTTGTAAACTAAAGTTTCGATAAGGGATGCGCAGCTTCCTCTGAGTGGACGAGCGTCGATAGTTCGAAAGTTAATGAAATAAATTTTATTTTGAGTTGCACTAATTCCAGTCACCACCTTGGTGCCTTATGTCCTGATAGACATGCATAGAAATTGTTGTTGTGTTTGGATCTTGAGAAACAGGATGAAATTGTTAAGGATTATAGTAAAGAATGAAATTGTATCACTGAAATAATTAAGTTTAAAATCAAGAATTCACATGCAAAACCTGAAAAATCTGATCCATTGCCATCCCTTGGGAGGAGAGGAAGAGGAGACAGTGGTGGTATGGGAGCAGTTAGGCGGCGTAGGGAGAAGGAGGGGGCTGTCAAAGGTGGGCTAGGAATTCACGAGGGATGGGGGCTGGGAAAGGGTTGCTAGAGAGGGAGGTGGGGTTTGCTGAAAGCATTTTCAGTGGCGGGGTTCAAAGGGCAGGGTTGGGTTAGTAATATAGTGGGTGCTTAAAAAACAAAACGAAAGGAGCAAATTTATTGGGTGTTTGGAAAGTTATTATTTTAGTTTTTAGTTATTTTATTAGATTAAATTTTGTGTTTGAGAAGATAATTGAATTTTTTTATAATTGGATGTGATGTTTGTGAGAAAAAAAATAAAATGATTATGAATTTGATGTGACGTTTTATTTTATTGATTATTTTAATTTATTTTATCTTTTTGTGAATTTTAACTAAAAAGGCTACAATTTAGTGTGTGGTGGTCCAAAGAAGAAAATGAGGAGCAAATTGCAGCACACTATTTAAACTGCTCTCAATGTAGTTCCCAAATTTTTATTTTTATTTTTTTAAAAGGAAAGGTCACATACCTTGTATTTACTAAAATTAAATTGAGAGAGGAGGACAAGAAAAGCATGAAAGGCCATTTTAGTGGGCAGAAATAGACACCAAGGATCCTCTAGAGTGAAATTTTTCTAAAGTTTCCTAGAGTGTTATATTGTATGGTTCAGATTTACTGGCAAGTCACATCAGAATAATTGATGTGACTTGCCAGTAAATCTCAACCACACAATATAGCACTCTAGGAAACTTTAGAGAAATTTCACTCTAGAGGATCCTTGGTGCAGAAATAGATGCAGATAATAGATATGATATGTGGGATGTTTTTGTTGGTGTTCTGACTCTCCAAGTAGAACTGCGTGACACCGACTGACTTGTCAAGTGTAAAGTGTCTCATCTGGTCTTTCTGTAAAGGAAAATGCCTGGTAGCTCGAAGCTACCAGGCTCGAAATGGCTCGAGAGGAAGAGAGGGAGAGGGAGAGGGAGAGAAAGAGAGGGAAAGGGAGAGAAAGAGAGGGAGAGAGGAAGAAGGTCGGCGTCGTCGCAGCCCCGCCCCGCCGTCGTCGCAGCTCTGGCCGCCGCTGCTGCTTCCTCCTCCGTCGCAGCCCAGCCTCCCCTCCTCCTCAAACCGGTTTTTATGGCCCCCTCCCCTCCCTCCTCCTCCTCCTCCCTTCTCTTCTTCTCCCTTCTTCTTCTTCTTCGTTCTGCAAAACCAGGAAAAAAAAAACAAAAAAAAAAAACAAAATCAATACCAAAACGACGTCATTTTAGTATCGAGCCGCGTTTCGAGCCGCAACATTCGGGCTCCGTAGCATGATCGTTTTAACGCCATTGACGGCTCTCTCTCTCTCCCTCTCCCTCTCTCTCATTCTTATAGCTCTCTGTCTGTCTTCTGTTTTAAGCTGAACCATGGCTTGTCAAGGCTTTGTCAGTATATTTCATATCTTTATGTTTCAATGCATACATTTAGGAATTATTTTAAATCATCTAAATAAGTATATTTTTTAATTTTTTATAAAAAAAAATACGTAAAAAAATAAAGAGGTAATGTAATTTAAAAAAAATAAAAAAAAATGTGTTATTTTAGTTCACTCCAAACAAGTTCTTACAACTGTAAACGGATAGAACTAAATCGAGTATTGCAATATTTGAGCTTGATTCAATTAACTTTATGAGTGTTCCGAGTTAGTTTTCTAAGAGTGGTCGATCAATACAAGCTAGTTTTTAAAAGTAGTGTTTGATCAATACATTTAATTAGAGTTGCAAATGAATTATGACTTAATCTATATATATATATACACTAGGGATAAGCCGTGCCTGAAGGCACTGTGAACAATTTTTGTTTGAACGTGCTATGGAATTCATTTATAATAAATCAATTTAAAATGACAATATCATTCCAATTTAAAACTTCACATAAAACAGGAACAAAAGATATAAAGAAAATTGAAATAAATAACTAATAAATTTAAAAAAATTTATTTCCTAATGAATTTATCATGAATGTAGGCTTCTCACCTTATTCACATAATTTGGGTGATGCCTTCAAGAGTTCCCATCTTATTCTCTAACATATTTTCAAAATCGGTCCTGTTTAATAAATAGTTCAAATCATTCTAATAAGACATTGAATATCAATAGGAATAGTTCAAATCCTCCAAACTTTTTCACAGTCTCAGCTAACTACTTATAAATAAATGAAATAAAACTAATCCAAGTTATTTTAAAGACTAACCTTATTGTTAATACCATAATATCATGAATGATACAACAAACCCAAGCTAATTTCACAACCAACTGTGTTGGAAAGTCAGAGGTCCTGAAAAGAAAAATGAATTCAGAAACAAACCATGAAAATTCATAACCATGATAGGGGGAGGAGGAACTAAAGTATATAAAAATTAAGAGGCAATAATACTATAACATCATCCTTCAACCCACCAATAAATTATTCATGCACAATAGACACTAATTTTCACAAAAACCATGTCAAGCACATGTGACTTCCACCAAAATATGTAAAGATACTAAATTTAGTGAATTTTCAAGAGCACTTTACTGTCCACACTCAATAACCATCCATAAGATCCAACCTTTTATATTGATAAAAGACTTTACAAAAATATCAGAAATTCAATGAAGTACATATTAATAAGAAGCTTTACAAAAGTGGTTAACATCAAGGATATACTTTACAAAATATTTGTCAACTTTACAAAATGTATGCCAAATAATGTCTTCAAACTTGTTCTTTTACAAAAAGTACTTGGCCACCCCTAAAGCGCTTGGACATCTTCAAACTTGTTCTCCATCACATTCTGAAATGTCCATGTATCAACTTCTGTATACTTTTTCCAGTGAGGAGCATGCACAACAATCTAATATTTAAAAAACAATAGCATTAGCGTATTGAAACAATACGAAAAATAGATATTGAAACAATATGGACCAAAGATACCTTATTACAATTCCATCGGAGCAATGTGGTCTTATTTATCCTCTTGAGCTCTATAGCTTTTTCAACCGAATCCTACAAAACTTTGACTTGATCATAATTTAAACACAATTTTAATTAAAATACACTTTCAATTTATTTCCTTCTTTCATCATTTGTGTTCTTTTTTACACTTTAGTTACTTCCCTCTTGTATTAGGAAAATTTTATATATCTTTGTAAAAAGATCCTTTATAATTTTTTAAGGATGCATAATTTAGTTTGAACATCATTAAAAGCATCATGTCCATCTTCACAAACTTTATAGTAAAAAAGAAAATTACACAGAGATTATGCATCCTCCAAAATATCACATTCTCCCTATGATTTTCTTTACACATGTTCCAAAACAAACTTGAAAACAACCATACCATTTATGTATTTTTTATTCCCTTTCTTGAGTAGTTTTCCTTTCCTTTTCCTTTAAACTTTTCATTTTCCTTTGCCTTTACCTTTGCCTTTGCCTTTAAAAAAATAAGCAAAAATTATTAAGAAAAAAATATGAGAAGCAAATAAATTTGATTAGTAGACTTACCCAACGAACACAGAGGACATTGAAGTCTCGTTCATTATGGATCACAACAATGACATTTCTGTTTTGAAGAAATTGAACCTGTGTATATATAGAAATGCATTTGAAAGGTCAAAGAAAAATTATATTAAGAAATGAAGTTAAATAAAAAATAAGTATAGAGATCTAATATTACTGTTTCCTCTAACATATCATCCACCTGTAAAAAATAATACAAAAGCATTTGATTATGAGAAAAATTATAAATAATAACTAAGAAATTAAGCCTCGATTCATAAACTATAATATGAATTAAAAAATATGAATATTGTGTATGATATGAATTAAAATGAACTCCAAGATTGTTGAAGAGGTTGAAACACCAGAGATCTATAGTAAAGAAATAACTCATTTAATAGTGTTATAAATAGATTGGGTTTAAATACCAATAGGTTGTACAATGACTATTTGATTACTTAATTGTGCCATAATTTAAGTACAATGAGTTATTTCTTTCTCATTATAATTTTAATTTTTAACAATCAAATAAAAACAAAAGATCACAAAACATTACTTTGCAAAATAACCCAAATCATTTATCAGAACACTAATCATATTTGAAACACTTCAATCTCATTGATACTTTATTTGATTCATTGGAATGAGGTAAATGATGATTTCCATTGCAATGAATTTTTCATTATTCTTTTAGTCAACCAAATATGAGAAGTGCAAGGAATCTTTGCACTTTATTACAATGAACCAAAGACTACATTAGAGTTTCATGTGACATTTTATTCCAAAAGATTAAAACATAGGGGAAAGGAAAACAGGGGAAGAAACTCAATCAAATTGCCAAATAAATACTATGAAAGTAAACAACATTTTCCCTTCCTCTAATCAATTATCAATTTGAAGACACTGCAAGTCCAAATTCTAAGCTAATCTAAATATGCGAAATTCCTTTCAATCTAGAGATGTTGTACGTACAGTTGGTTGTTGGATGAGTTTTGGTCCAAAGTTTGCCGCTTTTGGCACTAATTTTTTTGGCCAGGCACATCTTGTAGGAGAGAGGTTACATTGTAAGAAGAAAACGTTGCATATGAAAAGGCTACATCCAATTGCAAGAATAAAATATAGGAGATGTAGAAAGAAGTAAATCTATTTAGGACTAAGTTCCAAGTTAGAGTTAAAGACCCAAAATTTATTTTTGAAGTGTTTTTTTTTTTTTTTCATTTTTGGTTTTCAGGTAAGTAAGGTACTTTAGATT